AAAGGAACAGAACATTCCCACATGTTTTATGTACCGTGTAGAATTTCCTCTTCTTCTTAGCAGGGGTATTTGTCGTATGGCACAAATACATACATGTATAATGTACATGTACACACTGAGCCATGAATTGTGCAGTGTATCTCTATCAGTATACTTGTTTGTGTTTAATTATTTTAATGATTATCACTTCAGTACGCGTATTCCCATTCATGCCCCAAAGCAAAAAAAGAAAAAAAATACGATGCCACTGATGAAACGAGATGGGTAATGGGAGTGATAAATTATATATTTTATAAAAATACATTATCATAGAATGCAATTTTAATGAAAACTGATGTAGGGCCTTGAGCACCAATAATTCTATATTGGATGGCTTTGAGGGGGATATAAGAATATATACAATGCACTGCACGAGATATAACAATATTCAGTGCAATATTGTTATAGCGAGTGCAAGATATTCTTGTATCTCCCGAAAAAAAAGCCATGCAACATTTTTGCTATTATTTATATTAGGCTGACTAGCTTGATTCACAAGAAATAAATTTCAGGACACAGCCTTTATTTCTCAAATTTTGTTGAATTATCGCAACGTTTGAAGCTAGTTGTGCATGTGGCTATTGACAACAGTGCGCGTATATCCTGCAAGTGCTGCGCACTGCGTCCGCGTGCCGCGCGCTATGCTCTGTTGACAGGTTGGCTGTGACTTTTTATGCTCTAGATTGTGCAGTAACCAGCGAAAATGCCTGAATGACTGCAATAACATTATTATTGCAGTCATCCAGGTACTTTTCACGAAAGCATACATGTACAATACCCTGATTTAGTGGATATGTGCGCTTTATAAAAACCCATATTATTAACAAACATGTACATGTACAATGGACTCCAAACCAACTTTTCCTGTTATTTCAATATAAATTTTACATGAAACTGATGAACCAGGAAAGGTCGGTATAAATTTGATTCAAATTTAGATGGACAGTGTCCAAACAATTATTGAGTCCATCCTACCATCAAACACATTGCACTTGTTTTTAAAAGAACATTCATTTCCAATGACAGGGTTTAAAAATGCTAAAATGCTTCCCAATCCCATAAAAGTAAAAACAACCCACCCAAATAAGTTCGTAATTTTTTTTATCCCATTCAAATCTAAAGGCCCTCCCAAGTCATTTGAAATGAACTCTCCACCAAATCCATCTACATGTCATGCATGTACTTAAAAAGATACATATATACATTGTGCATTATGACATGTGACCTGTCCCTACCAAACCTTGACAAATATCACACTTATAAAAAAAAATAAGAAGAATTTGATGTTTTCAAATGTTCCAGTTAGTTACTCTTTCTTATTTGATTTGTATTAATAATATTTTTCATTTTTCAGTAATCCCATTGAAAAGGACAAGAACTCAATCCATCAATGCACATTACAAAAAGATAGACAACTTTTGTAAATTGAACATAGAAGCAGAGGCGAAAATTGCTAACTTCGGCGTCATGTGAAAAATCCATAATTTCAGGTTTTTTCACCCTAAAATAATTTCATGTGATGTTGATCTGAAACAAATTCTTGCAATTTTGTCTAAATTTTGCAGGAAAAGGTCACAGATATAGACTGAACAAGGTAACATGAATATATGATTGTCAGGACAACCCACACAATTTATTATCAATTATTAAGGTTTTCTTTAGAAAAACTGCCTTTTTGACACAAACATAAATTTCCAGTGGACACATGGCAAACTGGTGATTAACCTTTAGAAAAATGCATCATTTGAGAATTTATAACAGATGGCGCCGTGAAGAGAAAATTATGATAAATACGCTGGATGTAAAAGTTCATGAACCACTGAGAAAAACACCCAAATGCTTGGGAAAATATTCAAAAATATTTTGCTAATGTAACTCTGTACATTCCACATACAGATATTCTATTCAGAAGACAGTGAAATAGCTCCTAAGTTATTTTGGGAAAAAAAAATGAAAATAATTGACTCATGTATTAAGCCTGTAACAGACATTTTATTCAAAAGACAAAGAAACAAGCTCATAAATACGTCATTCCTTTTTCTTGCTGATGCAACAACTACCAAAAATTTAGATTGCGAAAAACTTTCTTACAACAATTTTTAGCACAATGATTTTAGCAATCAGTTTCGAGCACTTGTTAATGCAATAGATCACAGGAATAGACAGATTTTCTACCCAGGATCTTTTATGATTGTTTCTAACAATTTGGAAAGTACAGTTTTTGAACTAATTTTGTCAGGTATTGGATCACAACTTTCAGTTTGAAATGTGAACACATATGAGCAGTCTGAAGTTTTATGTCAGTACCTCATTCCCCCTTTTTGGGGGGGCTGGAGATTTTGCTTAATTCCTGTCACACTATGGGAATTGGATTGACCCAATGTAAAAACTGCCCTTTAAAACCACCAATTGAAAGGCGTCATTTACTATGATCATGTGGTTTTCACAATTATAGCGCTTTATACCCCAGGTCTCAAAGTGATTCACAACTATTACCCCAGTTCATCAGGCCATGAGACCAGTTTTTGCAGAAGATTAAGATCAGCGCATTCTGGTCTCTACCTTAACAGTTACCCATTTATACTCCTGAGTGGAGAGAGGCAATCGTAATAAAGTGCCTTGCCCAAGAACACAAGCACCATGTTCCCCCTCAGGGTTCAAACCGGTACAACTGCACATAAGTACAAACACAGTAACCATTGAACCACAGTGCTTTACTAGCGAGTAAACAAAAACTTTATAGCTACAGCCCCAACTGGATCTCATTATTATGAAAGAAATAATGCCCCCCCCCCCAAAAAAAATTAACATTCAGCAACTTTAGAAAACGTACAGAATCTTGAAACTAAAGACATTTCACTTTTCCCCCCTACATTCAGGGCTCAAAATTAGCGGGTGCAGGTGGCTAAAGTGCACCCGTAAATCTCCTAAATGCTCCCGTATGTTCTGAAGTCAACCACTAGTGCCCGTTTTCATTTCCTCATGAAGGAATGCCTCCATGGTTTTGCGCTGTACTGTCAATGACCAATTCTAGGTCAATTTATCGCAAGATGTCGTACCACATGGGCACAATCACTAGCCGTACAGTACATGCACGTCCAACACCTGCATATGACAAAATTCACCGTTTAAATACACTGATGCATTGCATGCACCTGTACAGTGCTTCAGTTTCATGACGACCCATGCTGACACTTGGCAATGTGAGCTGCCGAATCAAGTTACGGCTGGCCGTAGCCAAGTCGGACACAGCACGCGATGAATCAAGAACCGCACGCGTGAACCAGAACGATCGTTTGGAAACCCGTGATGTTGATTGGCTAGCTGTGTAAACGTGATCCATGGAGATCACTGTTTGTACATGTAAGAATAAACATCGTTAACGGTACGTCGTAACGGAACGTAGCAACCGCACGTCCACACACAGACAGTATGTGTGGGTAGATACAAGTTCACGCAGCTCGCCATGTTGAATTCGAGGTTTTGCATAATGCCATGATGTCCTTATTGGATTTTGTATTCAAGGGAACCGCTGTGGTTGTGGAGGAAACTGCGACCGATCAACCCCATGAATGCACAATAAATACCGGGGGCAGGGACCGAGAGGGCTTTGTACCGGGACATGTATCTTCAATGTCGCAAGTGTCCACTATTGAAGGATGGGGAAAAAAACATGCTGCGAAAAGGAGGATGAGTATACTGCTGCTTCAGTTGGACAACGATACTTTAATAATCTGCGCTGATGAGACTTGCCTAATTTTTGACCTTTTGTTCCCTATTCTGGTTTGAAAGATACTCACCACCTGCTTCAGTCACTGACATGGGCTATTGAGTTTGAATTTAAGGCAGGGTAAATAAAAGTATCCCTGTGAATTCCCTGTGAATTTATTTCAATATTTGGTCGATTAGTTTTAGAGCTTCAAACTTTGTTGGGAGCAACTTGCTCCCGTTGACTAAAAATTGCAGCACTGTTGGGAGCAAATACTTGCTGCCGTGTGGTTAAGCCCAATATCGAGCCTTGATATAAATTTCTGCGTTGATAGTACTTTTATTTTCAAAAAGACAATAATTATGTGTCAACATACTTTGATTGATTCTATGAGTTTTCTTAATGATTGATAATGTGGCAATAGGGGCAATTTCTTGGGTGGGGAGGGGGGTTTGTTTTGGGGAATTTTTGGGGGGCCATTCAATTCATTCACCATTCATTAGCTGCAAACTGACTGTGCCATACAATTTATCATCTATCACGGAACAATCCCAAGAAACCTAACTCCGTTTTTATTATGCTGAACAGTAACGATGTTCCCTAATACTGAGCCGTCCAGTCCAACAGCATTATTTTATTCCGAGTACCCAGCCTAGCGATTAACCTTCCCAGCTTAGCTTTTTTCTTTGGGGGGGGGGGGGACCTGGGCCAGACAGGTTTTTTTGCCTCACCCGTTCCGACCACGTAATTCTGAGTATACAGCATAATTATCTAAAAATAATAACTCTTGTTGTCTCAGATTCTTTTTATATTGAACCTAGACGGGATTTTGTTAAAGCCCCGTCCGTCCGACCACGTTATTATTGTTACATGTATTCCGATTATCCAGCACATAAACCCTTCCCATCTGAGCATTATTTTTTATTGCAACCTGCAGCGCAAAGTGTTTTTCCGCCCCGTCCGACCGGGTATCCAGCCTACAAAAAGTATTAACTCTTTCCATTTCGGCGTTCTTTTTATTGGAACCTGGACCAGAAAGGGTTTCTTTTTCGCCCCACCCCAGCGACCGCATTATTATTTTCATTTCGAGTATCTCAGCATTATTTTTTATTGGAACCTACATTGTAAAATGAGAATTTTTTTAAGCCCCTCCCAACCGCGTTATTATTTTTATATGCCGAGTAACTCAGCATCATTTTTATTGGAACCTGGAAGAAAGAGATTTGTAATTCTTCAATTATCTAGGGTTTATATGCCGGTGAGGGATCCCACGGGCCCCGCCAGCGTTCCCGAGCGCCAACCCACCAAGGATTCCATGGGCCCCGCCAGTGTTCCCGAGCCCCAGCCCACCAAGGATTCCACGGGCCCCGCCAGCGTTTCCAAGCCCCAACCCACCAAGGATTCCACGGGCCCCGCCAGCGTTCCCGAGCCCCAACCCACCAAGGATTCCACGGGCCCCGCCAGCGTTCCCGAGCCCCAACCCACCAAGGATTCCACAGGCCCCGCCAGCGTTCCCGAGCCCCAACCCACCAAGGATTCCACGGGCCCCGCCAGCGTTCCCAAGCCCCAGCCCACCAAGGATTCCACGGGCCCCGCCAGCGTTCCTGAGCCCCAGCCCACCAAGGATCCCACGGGCCCCGCCAGCGTTCCCAAGCCCCAGCCCACCAAGGATTCCACGGGCCCCACCAGCGTTCCCAAGCCCCAGCCCACCAAGGATTCCACGGGCCCCGCCAGCGTTCCTGAGCCCCAACCCAGCAAGGATTCCACGGGCCCCGCCAGCGTTCCCGAGCCCCAGCCCACCAAGATTTCCACGGGCCCCGCCAGCGTTCCCAAGCCCCAACCCAGCAAGATTTCCACGGGCCCCGCCAGTGTTCCCGAGCCCCAGCCCACCAAGATTTCCACGGGCCCCGCCAGCGTTCCCGAGCCCCAGCCCACCAAGGATTCCACGGGCCCCGCCAGCGTTCCCGAGCCCCGCCAGTGTTACCGAGCCCAAGCCCACCAAGATTTCCACGGGCCCCGCCAGCGTTCCCGAGCCCCAACTCACCAAGGATTCCACGGGCCCCGCCAGCATTCCCAAGCCCCAACCCACCAAGGATTCCACGGGCCCCGCCAGCGTTTCCAAGCCCCAACCCACCAAGATTTCCACGGGCCCCGCCAGCGTTCCCGAGCCCCAGCCCACCAAGGATTCCACGGGCCCCGCCAGCGTTCCCGAGCCCCAGCCCACCAAGGATTCCACGGGCCCCGCCAGCGTTCCCGAGCCCCGCCAGTGTTACCGAGCCCAAGCCCACCAAGATTTCCACGGGCCCCGCCAGCGTTCCCGAGCCCCAACTCACCAAGGATTCCACGGGCCCCGCCAGCATTCCCAAGCCCCAACCCACCAAGGATTCCACGGGCCCCGCCAGCGTTTCCAAGCCCCAACCCACCAAGATTTCCACGGGCCCCGCCAGCGTTCCCGAGCCCCAGCCCACCAAGGATTCCACGGGCCCCGCCAGCGTTCCCGAGCCCCAGCCCACCAAGGATTCCACGGGCCCCGCCAGCGTTCCCGAGCCCCAGCCCCAGCCCACCCTTCCCCAGTTTCAGTATGAGCCGATAGCCGATTTCGATCTGGATCTCGATCTTTCGGCGATCACTGGGTCCAGCACAGAAAGTCCCCTATCCAACTTGTGACGTCACAACTTGCGATGGTGATCGCCAAGCTGGATGAGCAGTCAACCGAGACAAAAGAGCTGCGGGGAGAGATACGAGGGCTTCAGGCAGAGGTAAACGAGCTGCGGGCAGAGGTAAACGAGAGCTTCGGTCCAAGGAGAAGAACGCCTCAAGTATCACCAGTGAACATCGGGAGCCACAGTACGTCATCGCCGACAAGCATCTCAACACAGTGCTAATAGGCACACCGAACAATGCCACCCATACAATGGACAGGGACACATACGACAAAATCTTCGACAAGGTGGACAACCCCAAGGACTTGATCGTCAAATTAATGGCAGAAGTCTTCACCCCAGAGGAACTCGCCAGATCAAATTACCATGGCGGTGTTATCTTCAATGGCAAAGAAAAGGTCACCAAAGAATGTTTGAGGAAGAAGCCTGAGTTCATTGCAATAATGTCCCAAGCGGCCATTGAATTCCCAAGACACAAAATTGACGAGAAACTGCAAAAAGCACTGAAGGATGCAGTCAATGCAAAATGTAGAAAAAAGTCTTCCACGTTAAGATCGTAGGCTGTAGTCTAGTAGGCAAGATCAGGGCGTATTTGCAGATTTTGTTTTTAGTTGATTGACAACGATTTATATCTTTTTGTATGGTTTCGTAAAATCGTAAAAACCACCACCTGATTATGCATATTAAAAAGTTACTCTCTTCCAACTGTAATGGATGGATGTTTATTTCGAGCACCTGAAACATTAATGTCCAATCGACCATGCATATTTAAATTAAATTCTGACCTTATACAATAATTATCTTTAATTATTGAGATTATTTGAGAGCTGTGACAAATAAATAAAACAAAATGCTTGAAACGGATTTCAATCGTTTATTAAATGATTGATTTTAATTTATAAAACCAAATAGTAATTTACACCAAATTGTAATGCTTGTTCCTCTTATTTTTCGAGAATCAAAGAAACTCACACTTGCAATAACCATTGAAATTTTATTTGTAAAAAAATATATACATGTAATAATAAGAGATTGCCAAATCCCTATTTTATTTCGCCGACCAAAACCGCGGAATTTTTAGTCCGAGTATCCAGCCTAGCCCACCAAAAAATATTAACCAATGGCTTCCCATCTCAGTTTCTTTGTTGAAATCTTGACTACGTGGGTTTTTTTTCTGCCCGGCCCGACCTCGTAATTATTACTTTTTATTCCGAGTATCCAGCCCACAAAAGATATAAACCTTTCCGTCTGGTTTTATTTTTCACCCCGCCCGACCGCGTAATTATTATTTTTATTCCGAGTATCCAGCCCACCAATTTGTTTTTTAACCGCTCCCGTCGGTTTTTATTTTTCACCCCGCCCAACCGCGTAATTTTTTTTGTATTCCGAATATCCAGCCCACCAAAAATATTAACCCTTCCGTCGGGGTTTTATTTTTCACCCTGCCCGACAGCGTAGTTATTATTTTTATTCCGAGTATCCAGCCCACCCAAAAAATATTAACCTCTCCGTCTGGTTTTATTTTTCACCCCACCCAACCGCGTATTTTTTTTTTTTTCCGAGTATCCAGCCCACCAAAAATATTAACCCTCCCGTCGGGGTTTTATTTTTCACCCCGCCCGACCACGTAATTATTATTTTTATTCCGAGTATCCAGCCCACCAATTTGTTTTTTAACCCCTTCCGTCGGTTTTTATTTTTCACCCCGCCCAACCGCGTATTTTTTTTTTTTATTCCAAATATCCAGCCCACCAAAAATATTAACCCTCCCGTCGGGGTTTTATTTTTCACCCCGCCCGATAGCGTAATTATTATTTTAGTCCGAGCATCCAGCCCACTCCAAAAAATATTAACTCTTTCCGTCCGGGTAGTATTTTTAACCCCGCCCAACAGCGTAATTTGTTTTTTTATTCCGAGTATCCAGCCCACCCAAAAATATTAACCCTTCCGTCGGGTTTTATTTTCACCCCGCCCAACTGCGTAATTATTATATGTTTTATTCCGTATCACGCCTGCCAAAATATGGAGCCTGGGCCAGGCATACTTTTTTTTATTCATTGGTTTATTTATCACGAGACAAGAATATATACGGAAGTGCTCAGTTGGAGAGGTCGGCAAATCAAATGGTTACGAGTTAATCGTGTTACAAAAGAAGAATAAATCTGATCAAACTCCACATGAATCCTAAAACCCTGGAATGTCTATGATTTATTTATCGCTGGCACCGAAGTTTTTTGCCCCCAAGAAAATGTACTTCGCATATTTCTTGTGATGTTCCCGTTCTCGTACGCAAAGGAACGGTGCATAATACCCTCTCAGTGAAGCCAGTGAGAGAAAGGGATGAGGAACGCGTGCGGAACGCAGTTCGGCACGCAAAGGAACGGGAAGGCGTGCAGAACGGGAAGGAACCCGTGCGCATGCGTGCGAACGGTCAATGTATTTTTGGTGTCTTGCCTTACAATATAAGGTAAAAATGTGGTCAGCGATAAGGATGTTGATGTTGCCATGAAATCCTGCAATGTGATTGGTGTACATAGAAAAGGTAGCGTACATGGATGGTGATTGGACACAACCAAAGATTCAAAATTTGAATACTTCTAGGATTCATATTGGAGAAAACAAAACATTTTTGATAAAGATGACTGCGTAAACCGCAAGGCTTTAAAAACCAAAATGTTCTGTCCTCTTTTCTCTTAGCGGCAGGTCGGGTAGGACGTACTTATAATACGCTTGTATTATCATTCAATTTTCTACTACCTGTTATTACTTAAGAAAAGTTTTTGATTAAAAGAGAATTTAGTGGTTGAGTTGTAGGGAAATATGCAAGTAGATTGCTCTACATGTAAGATAAGTGATTTACAGTAGACTATATAATGGTTTTGACAGACTTTCTGGAACAGGCCATACAGTTCAAAACAAGTTTTCAATTACAAAATTTGGTTCGATGCTGATGAGAAATGTGAAATGAATATGGGGTGACAGGTGCTGAATGACGCAAACAATTTCCATCTGACGTACATGCCACATACTTCCTTATAAACAACCCTTTATTAAAACCGGTATGCAATCCAATAACAGTCTGGTGATTGCCAAGAAATGTGATACATGTGCTTTATTGCAGGAATTCCCTTGTGATGTTTCAAAGTGGTACATGTACATATATCCTTTCCAAATGCCGTTTGGTGCGACTTGGAAAAACAACTAAAGTTGTCAGACGTAAGACTTAATATAGCTGGGTGTTTTTTTTTTAATTCAAAGAAGGGATGGATGTGGGGGCACACCCCCCGCCCCACCTTTTCTCTCCAGAAAAAAAGCAAGATATAGAAAAAAAGAAACAAAGAAAAAAGAGCGAGAGACAAAATTAATAGAGCAGTTTATGTCAGACCGTAGTCTGCTAGGATTAGTTGCACGTACCGGTAAGACAACAATTATTATTGGGGGTCTGTCATACTTTTACTAAAATTAAAAGCGATGCGACCAAGAACTGCAAGAGACAGAGGACGTGCGCAACGAGACAGAGGGCATGTGAAGAGAGAGAGGGCGTGCGCGACGAGACCAAAAAAGCAGCGACAAGCGAGAGGAGACCTATGCTGTAAAATATGCTGTACATTACAGGAAAATGAACCCAGATCTCTCTAGCACTAGAAGTAGCAGGACGGGCATGCAAGCCTTCGGCATGGGCGTCAATCGGGGGTGGGAAACAGGGAGGGACATGTTCGCCCCCCCCCCCCAACTTTTTAAAGTGGAGGGGATATCATATCGTTGTTCGTCCCTGAATAAATATTGTAGCCTACAGTTTGATTTTATAGCTCAGGATAGCTGATTCCACGACTCCAAAGTTAAAAATGATGGTTAAATGATGATCTTTTACTTTAAAAAATTGGTTAAAGTGGTCAGATAATGCCTGAGATCGCACCACAGAGCAACTGGAATCCAATATTTTTAGGGGCCTTAAGCGGGCCCCTGGCCTCTGACCCCATGGCTTTGTGCTACTCGCCCGCATTACTACTATTCACATTATGTCCCCCCTTTGGCCTTTGGCGTAGGCGCCACAACTTGCCTTCACCATTTGTTGCTTGTTGCATTTTACGCCCCCCCCCCCCAACCCTCCTCTATAAAATCCTGGATCAGCCCCTGACAGGAGCTAGTTTGGATGTGTTCTCGTTGGGATCAGGTGTATCCCTGAACAAATAGTTGGGATCAGGCGTATCCCTGTGAAAATAGTTGAGATCAGGTGTATCCCTGTGAAAATAGTTGGGATCAGGTGTATCCCTGTGAAAATAGTTGGGATCAGGTGTATCCCTGTGAAAATAGTTGGGATCGGGTGTATCCCTGGGAAATAGTTGGGATCGGGTGTATCCCTCTGCAAATAGTTGGGATCGGGTGTATCCCTGTGAAAATAGTTGGGATCGGGTGTATCCCTGGGAAATAGTTGGGATCGGGTGTATCCCTGTGAAAATAGTTGGGATCGGGTGTATCCCTGTGAAAATAGTTGAGATCAGGTGTATCCCTGTGAAAATAGTTGGGATCAGGTGTATCCCTGTGAAAATAGTTGGGATCAGGTGTATCCCTGTGAAAATAGTTGGGATCAGGTATTTTCCTGTGAAAATAGTTGGGATCAGGTATTTCCCTGTGAAAATAGTTGGGATCAGGTGTATCCCTGTGAAAATAGTTGAGATCAGGTGTATCCCTGTGAAAATAGTTGGGATCAGGTGTATCCCTGTGAAAATAGTTGGGATCAGGTGTTTCCCCGTGAAATAGTTGGGATCAGGTGTATCCCTGTGAAAATAGTTGGGTTCGGGTGTATCCCTGGGAAATAGTTGGGATCGGGTGTATCCCTGTGAAAATAGTTGGGATCGGGTGTATCCCTGTGAAAATAGTTGGGATCAGGTGTATCCCTGTGAAAATAGTTGGGATCAGGTGTATCCCTGTGAAAATAGTTGGGATCGGGTGTATCCCTGTGAAAATAGTTGGGATCAGGTGTATCCCTGTAAAAATAGTTGGGATCGGGTGTATCCCTGTGAAATAGTTGGGATCAGGTGTATCCCTGTGAAAATAGTTGGGATCGGGTGTATCCCTGGGAAATAGTTGGGATCAGGTGTATCCCTGTGAAAATAGTTGGGATCCGGTGTATCCCTGTGAAAATAGTTGCGTGTATCCCTGTGAAAATAGTTGGTATCAGGTGTATCCCAACAAAGAATCTAACCACGTTAACCGTGGAGATCATCAAGGTGCATATTGCAGGCTGATGTAAACCGTGGACGTCAATTGGTATGCCGCACCGGAAATGACTAGGCCTACATGTATTGTGTACGAGAGAGAAGCAACAGTACAGACGAAGAAAAAAAAGGTTTTTACACAGTAATACTTATAGTCTTCTTTCTATTACGCTCAAGTACAAGTGTGTATACCAGCTGGTACATTTAATGGACTCTCCAATCACCAAATCCAAAGTATGGATAAAATTTACAAACATAATTCCAACTTTCAAGTACCAAAAAAGGAGAATTTAAAAACCTTAGAAGATACGGTACCTCCTTCTGAACCAAAAAAAATGAGCAGCAAATCTACATTATAATTGTCTTTTAATGGATATTTCATAGTGACTCTATAGTTCAAGTCTATTCTTATTATTAAAGAAACATTGTAGCAAGTCAAAGGAGAATTTCAAAACTTAAGAAGGTATGTGTACATTTGAAGAAGCAGTACCTCTTTTGATCTGATTTTACTCTAATCCTGCAGTCTAGATCTGCTGCTGTTTTATGTGGACTCTCAAACCAACCATTGCACATGATAAGGACTACTTTAAAGAAAAATTGTTGCCCGGCAAATACGGCATTTTAGATACCGGTACATTTGAAGAGGCAGTTGGGTTTTTTTTCCAGATCTACAAATGTACACTGTTATAGTCTTTTGATCTGAAATACAGGGATACTAACACTCGAGTCAATAACCACCGGTACATTTAGAGGACCCTCAAACCTCACAACACATGTGATTTTTAATCCTACAAAATATGGACCTACATGTATAATGTTTGGTGTTTGTCACAGCTTCCAATATATAGAACATGTAGAAAGCTTTGTGCAAACATACGACAAGGATAAGTTGTATGTTTAGTACATGTAGTGCATTTAAAGAGGAACATGCATCACAATTTGTTCTGCCCAAAAGTTTTGATAACATGATAAACAATCTTGAGATTGTCTTGGAGGAGAAAGAAGATGGTTTGAAAGAAAGACGACCGGCAGGACGTCTCTAAGGAGACAAAACAGGTGAATTTCATTCCAGCTCGTTTGGAATATGAATATTTCTGTGTAACTAAGCAAATTATTGCTGCTTAATTATTACCTTTATTCAATGCACGGGCAAAGACTCTCTGTTATGGGTGTGTGGTCTAGCATCCACCTCAAACACATCATTCGTCTGCGCATATGATGTTAAGAAAATGAGAACACACTGTGATTATTTTGAAAAGGGATATTTGTTTTTGCAGAGCAAAGTTTTGGAACGAGTTCAGGAAATCGTTTGTATTCGAAGGAATTAAATGTTTTGCTTACATCATTACCAAAAAATGCATTGCATTTCTTCAGTTTAGCCTTACTAAATAAGGCTTTTCAAAGGTGCCTATTTTAAACTTATAGAAAATGAGAAAATGGGATAATTACTGCACACATTTCAGGGTACTGGGTACTACGTGCAATCAGTTCCCATGGCCTGGGCCCAAGAAAAGCAATTCTGCCTGAAGATGGGAGGCAACTTGCTGATGCCCAAGTAGGCCTGTCTACACCAGCAGGTACATTTACAGGACTCTCCAATCACCAAATCCAAGGTATGGAGCTCGTAACCACCAGTGCCGGTACACTCAGCGGACTGTCCAAACACACATGACTGTGATTAAGAAACCTTGCAGCATGGCATTTGAAGAAGTTCTCTTACAGAAGAAGTTAATTGTTAATTTTGTTTTGAAACTTATATTTCATAGTGACTCTGATGTTCGAGTCTATAACCACCGGTGCATTTGGTGGACTCTCCAACCCCCAAATCTGCATGATTTATACAAAGGACTACGTTTGAAGAAAGATGGTAGCCCGGCAAATAAGGATTTGAATGTTTTAAAGAACACATTTAAAGAGGCAGTTCTTGGACACTCGAGACGATAAACACCGGTACATTTGATGGACTCTCAAACCACACAACACGCGTGATTCATAAATCCTACAGAATATGGACAGAATTTTGGCTTTTGTCACAGCTCTCAATGTATCTAACATGTAAAAAACATTGTGCAAACATAAAATGGATAAAAGAAGTTGTACGTTTTGTACATGTAGTGCACTTGAATAAAAGAAGTTGTACGTTTTGTACATGTAGTGCACTTGAAGAGGAATGAAGGCAATATTGTTTGTTCTCCTGCCCATACGTTTTGATATTACATGGTAGACAATCTTGAGATAGTCTTGAAGGAGAAAGAAGATGGTTTGAGGTACAGTGAATGCACACCACCCTTAACGTGTCTCATTTTCTCAGGTGTGAAAAGAAGGAACCATTTTGCTAACATTGTTGCCGAAAAATGCATTGAGTTGTTTTTTTTTAATGTGTTTACAACAATTTCAGTTGAGCCTTACTAAATGAGGTTTTTCAAAGGTGCCTATTTGAAAACTTATAGCAAATGAAAATGAGTGTATTGTACCCCAAAAAACAAAAAAACTTCAAAACGTTTGAAGAGAGACTTCAAGTCAAAATAATTTTCATGTAAAACGTTTCAATCAATAAAATCAATAAGGAGAATGTGTGGACCGGGCAAACATTGACAGAATCTTTAAGAAACACTGGTTTGACCCTGCAAGCCACTCTTGACACTCACGTCAATTCAATCAGGAGCATTCAGTAAGAAGCTATTCGAATATTCGATTGATGATCCAATATTCGAATATTCAGTACAGCCCTAGCATTCAGCGGGACTGTCCGACCGTACAATGCATACATGTATGACTCTGTTTTAAGAAACCTTGTAGTAAGGCAAAAGTGAAAATTTGAAAATTTGAGATTGTACATTTGAAGAAATTCTCTTACACAAGAAATCTTTGCCATTGTGACTCTAACGCTCGAGTTCTCACATCCCCCGGCACATTTAGTGGACTCTCCAATCTCAAAATGCACCCTGGGATTGTTTAAGAAACATTGTAGCAAGGCAATTGAGAATGTTAAAATTTTAGAAGACACACTTGAAGAAGCGGTACCTCTTTCAGAAGAGAAAACGAACAGCATCTACACTGTTGATTTTCTTTTAATCTGATATTTCATAGTGACTCTAATGCGTGAGTCTGTGACCGCTGGTGCATTCAGCGGACACTTTAACCACCCAATCTGCATGATACAAAGGACTACCTTTGAAGAAGGTTGTGCCGTAGCCCACCACATAAGAATTTGAAAAAAAATTAAGGGATACCGGTAGGGCCTACATTTGTATAGGCAATTCTCTTTCAGATCTCCACATGAATATTCTTCTGACCTGAAACATAAGGACACTAACACTTGAGTCAATAACCGCAGGTGCATTGAATGGACTCTCCAACCACACAATACGCGTGATTGATGAACACTGATTTTCGCTTATATTAAGGAGTATTGTAGCAAGAGCTTCAAAACTTCTGATGTACTTGAGTCTATCCCAATCGGTACATGATGCAGTGGACTGGACTCTCCAACAATCAATAGTACAAAGATTTGCATCAAGAAATTCGTCATTCATGGACGTTTGAAGACGTTCTCTTTTAGAAAGAAGAAAGTTTGGCATCACCTAACACTGCGATTAGTCTTCCTTCTGACAAAGAAGACTCTGATGCTCGTGTCTATCCCCGTAGGTGCATTTTATGGACTCTCCAACCTCCAAATCCTAAACACAATTTTTAAGTTGAACTATGTAGCAAGGAATTTCAAGAGAATTGAAGATACATTTGAAGAAGCAGTACCTCTTTCAGAAAAAAAGAGGGAACAGCTGTTAATTTTCTTTTGATCTTCCACGTTTATAATCTTAACAAAGACTTGTCTTCCTTCCATTTGACACATACGCTACATAATGAAAAGACTCTGACGCTCGTGTCTATCCCCGCTGGTGCATTTGATGGACTCTCCAACCTCTATTCTCGCTGGTGCAATAGTTGCACTCTCCAATCTCCAAATCCTAAATAACAGCTGTTCATTTTCTTTTGATCTGATATTCTTGTGACTCTTATGCTCAAGACTAAAACCTCTGGTACATGCAGTGGTCTCCCCAACCACACTATGCATGTGATTGATGAGCATAGCAGTGAACAACGTTCCCATTTTTGAAGATATACTGTAGCAAGGCAAATGAGAGCATCAAATATAGAAGAAACGTACACCTGTTGCTCTTTCAGAAGAAAAATTATGAATTTATCTGATACCACCGAGTCAATTCCTGCAGGTACATTTAGAGGACTCTCCAACAATGACCATGTTTATAATGTTAACAAAGACTTTGTCGTTCTTCTATCTGACACATACATGTAAAGACTCTGAGTCTGACACTCATGTGTCAATCCAAGCTGGTGTACTTGATGGACTCTCCAACCTCTATTCCCGGTACATTTGATGGACTCTCCAACCTCCAAATCCTAAATAACAGCTGTTCATTTTCTTATGAACTGATTCTAGTGACCCTTGTAATTGAGTCTAAAACCCCTGGTACATGCAGTGGTCTCTCCAACCACACTATGCATGTGATTGATGAACAGTGAACACTGTTCCCATTTTTTATGAAATATTGTAGCAAGGCAAATGAGAGCTTCAAATAAACAAGAAACGTACACGTTTTGCTCTTTAAGAAGAAAATTTATGAATTGATCTGATACCAACGAGTCAATTCCTGCAGGTAGATTTAGAGGACTCTCCAACAATTACCATGTTCATAATGTTAACAAAGACTTTGTTGTCTTTCTATTAGACACATACATGTAAAGACTCTCATGCTCATGTGTCAATCCAAGCTGGTGTACTTGATGGACTCTCCAACCTAGATTCCCGCCGGTACATTTGATGGACTCTCCAACCTCCAAATCCTAAATAACAGCTGTTCATTTTCTTATGAACTGATATTCTAGTGACCCTTGTAATTGAGTCTAAAACCCCTGGTACATGCAATGGTCTCTCCAACCACACTATGCATGTGATTGATGAGCAGTGAACACTGTTCCCATTTTTGAAGATATATTGTAGCAAGGCAAATACGAGCATCAAATAAAGAAGAAACGTACACCTGTTGCTCTTTCAGAAGAAAATTTATCAATTTATCTGATACCACCGAGTCAATTCCTGCAGGTAGATTTAGAGGACTCTCCAACAATGACCATGTTCATAATGTTAACGAAGACTTTGTCGTCAGGACTTCTAGCTGACACATACATGTAAAGACTCTCACACTCATGTGTCAATCCCCGCTGGTGCATTTGATGGGCTCTCCAACCTCAAAATCCTAAATAACAGCTGTTAATTTTCTTATAAACTGATATTCTACAGTAGTGACTCTTATGACTAAAACCTCTGGTACATGTACATGCAGTGGTCTCTCCAACCACACTTTACATGTGATTGATAAGCAGTGAACACTGTTCCCATTTTTGAAGAAATATTGTAGCAAGGCAAATGAGAGCATCAAATGAAGAAGAAACGTACACCTTTTGCTCTTTCAGAAGAAAATTTATGAATTTATCTGATACCAACGAGTCAATTCCTGCAGGTACATTTAGAGGACTCTCCAACAATTACCATGTTCATAATGTTAACAAAGACTTTGTCGTCTTTCTATTCAACACATAAACGTGTAAAGACTCTGACGCTCATGTGTCTATCCCCGTAGGTGCATGTAATGGACTCTCCAATCTCCAAATCCTAAATAACAGCTGTTCATTTTCTTTTGATCTGATATTCTAGTGACTCAAGTTTATAACTGAGTCTAAAACCTCTGGTACATGCAGTGGTCTCTCCAACCACACAATACATGGGTGTGATTGATGAAGAGTGAACACTGTTCCTACTTTTGAAGAAACATTGTAGAAAGGCAAATGAGAGCTCCAAAATAAAGAAGAAACGTAAGACATTTTGCTCTTTCAGAAGATCTTTATGAATTTATCTGATACCCTTGAGACAATTTCTGCAGGTAGATTTAGAGGACTCTCCAACAATTACCATGTTTATAATCTTAACAAAGACTTTTTCTTCCTTCTATCTGACACATACCGGTAAAGACTCTGAAGCTTGTGTCTATCCCCGTTGGTGCATGTAATGGACTCTCCAATCTCCAAATCCTAAATAACAGCTTTTCTTTTTCTTTTGATCTGATATTCTAGTGACTCAAGTTTATAACTGAGTCTAAAACCTCTGGTACATTCAGTGGTCTCTCCAACCACACAATACATGGGTTTGATTGATGAAGACATGTTGCTCTTTCAGAAGAGATGTTATGAATTTATCTAATTTAACCTTGAGTCAATTCCTGCAAGTACATTTAGAGGACTCTCCAACAATGACCCCGTTTAAAATTTTAAAAAGACTTTGTATTCCTTCTATCTGACACATAAAGACTCTGACGCTCCTGTGTCTATCCCCGCTGGAGCACTTGATGGACTCTCCAACCTCTATTCCCGCTGGTGCATGTGATGGACTCTCAAATCTCCAAATCCTAAATAACAGCTGTTCATTTTCTTTTGATCTGATATTCTAGTGAGTGACTCTTATGCTCAAGACTAAAACCTCTGGTACATTCAGTGGTCTCTCCAACCACACTATGCATGTGATTGATGAGCAGTGAACAATGTTTTTACTTTTGAAGAAACATTGCAGTAAGGCAAATGAGAGCTTCAAAATAAGGAAGAAACGTAAGACTTAGTATGATTAAGAAACTCATCGTTCATGTTTGTATGAATGGAACGCGCATAAAAAATGAAGATGTTGAAGACCTACAAAAGTCAGTTGTAAGAATTTAAGACAGCAGCACGCAATATTAACATAGCATTTTTCGTTCAGGGATATTCAGTATGCTGTTGTCGAATCATTCACGACCATGTGTACAATAAGATACTACATTTACATTGTACATGTGGGGCGTACATGTATGTGTGTACATGTATACATGTACAGCCACAGAAACCACTTTTTCTGTAGCTCTGATTTGAATGAAAGCTTCAAGAAAATGTCCGCAATCACTTGGATTGATATATTTTTGGGCCAATTAGTATGGATTGCAAAAGATGTTTCAGTGCAATTTTAGCGGACAATTTCCAAAATAGCTTCTTCTTAACTTCTTGTTCAGTTAAACCATAAATTTCTCTGGTGTGTCATTGTCTAATTTACTCAGATGAACAGTATACCTGGGCCATCTGTTACTGCAAACATACATGAAGCTACACATGTAAAGTCTCAGGGTGTTTTTTACCACATCTATACACTGTAAAAGCCCTGTGAATTGGACATATCACATTGACATTAGCTTTGGGCGAATCCAGCACTTTTTTTAATCGATTCCGATTCCGTCTGGGAATTGATCCCAAACTTTTCGCAAAAAAATAAACTTAACAACAAAATTAAATTTCAAAAAAATAAATTAAAACCGCTATTAGCGAGGTCATTTTGGGGTGCTATCGCTCTCTTATAGATGGTCATTTGTCAGCAAATGTTATACAAGAGTCATGTTTTGGGAAGGAAACACAACCAAATAAAATATTGGACAAGAAAAATGGGAAAACACGCAAGACGAAAATCAGACCTCATCTTATTTCGGTGCTATCAACCAAAAACATTTTAAAATAATGAGGGCAGTACAGTACACTGAAAACGGGCATTTTCCATCGAAATCTTCGCTAAACATACATTGTTATACTGTTGTTTTTATAACATACCGGTACGATCAACATTTTATTTGGCAGTGTAATAATCGTATCGGAGTACATCTTACTTCTGAACGCGCTTTCATATTTTGATGCGTCACGTAATTACGGCCGGGATCGCTGATATCTCCTGGTAAACGAATTTACTACTACATTCACGATTTATCGCCGAATACTAGCAACTTCAAGTCATTCACAAAAAGACGATGGGTCATCTACGCGGACGCTTATGGAGTCAGGAAACTTTTGATGTCGACGGGACTCATTGCCATTTGCTGGTTGTTTTAGAACAACATAAGTGTAGGACCGTATTGGTTTTTGACAGGAAGAACAAAATAATCTGAGACAAATTTATTAAAAGATGGTTCTGAAAGTTTCCCCACTTTTTTAAAAGGATTTTATGAAAAACTTTTCAAATTTTTGGGAGCTGCATCCGCTTCCAATCGTTGTGAAAATTCCTACGATGATAGGAAACCTGATTCACATTCCACAAATCAAATATTACGTCATAAAAACCCAAACATTTTCGTGAGAAAATTGCATAGCTGTGTGGTGGGGCACGGCAGGCAGGCCACATGGACGAGAATGTCGGCGCGATGCCGGCTGGCTTTGCATTCCTCAAATAAAATAGCTCACTTTATGATATTTAATACGCCGTTGATGTTAAAGATTTTCGTTAGAGGGCGGCTTCATCAATGAGTTGTGCCATCAGTTTGTCTTTGAGGCACTGCATACTTTTAAAACTGTAAAGGGTCCATTTTGATAAAGAATTGGGCGTTCTTTGAAGGCGTGACCGCCAACACGGTGTTGGCGGTCTTTGAAATTGTCATGGGAAGACTGGAATTGACAATCGGGGAGCCAGAATCGGCTCCATCAGATAATTGATTCCTCCAAAATGTGGAATCGCGATTCCGATTCCAAGTTTGGAATTGATTCTATTCAATTTCGGCATGAATTCTCCCACGCCTGGTGTGCGAACTGGTTCACGCGTGTCTTTCTCGCAAAGTACGCACAACTTATTTTATTGTAAATGCACACAAAGCCATAGTGTCTTCGCATGAGTGTCAGGTGTTGTCAGCAGGGCGTTCAAATGTCCCTCCCGGTGGTCTCCCAAATTCTCCCTTTCTTGCCGGTGAGGGGGTACTTGTGCCCGGAGCCCACGGCAAATGTGAAATGAAAGAATGAGTTTACCTGCATATACCATACCACCTTTGAGGAGTTACCATTCTGCAGTACACTCGTTAAATAAAATTAGTAAAGTGTTACCTTGTTTCTGCTCTTGATTGGTCAATGAAAAGCAGTGTCTTGCGTTTGGAAATAAGCATGACCTGTGAAAACAAAACAAAAACAAAAGCTTGAGTCAAACAAATCAATACAAGTTAAAAATCAAGATGTACTTCAAATAAATGCCTACCACAAACAAAGCCAAGTCTCATTCTCACAACGATTATTGCATGACTCACATAGCTTGGTTCACTACAGTTATTTGATGTATTACATACAGTATACTCTATGTCGTTTGTTCGTTTACAAGATGTTCATGATAACTTTGCACAATTCTGCCTAGAAGTGTTCAGTAATAAACTTTGTAACTAATAAAATTAGAAGCTGTTTTCTGTCAGAATCCAGTTGTAGGTCAACATTGTTTAGGCCAAGTGCAGTCATCCAAAGGAGAACCATATTAAGGGGACATACCTACTGTGTGTCAATCATATGTTGTGGAAAAATTGTCAAAAAATCCAATTTTGTGGGACAAATTCAGAGGGCGTGCCCGCGCAAGCAGAAGCGCATTGGTGCACCGCTGGTATAGTGGTAATAGCAAACAAGGTCAAAGTGGTCAGACCCCTTAATGTTTTGGTTTCACAAGAACCAACTACTGGCACTGTTTTGCACTCAACTCACATGCACTGGTATACACACCTAAATTTGCACCGAAAATACCTCTTTTTATCTGGTTCGGCTTGATCCTATTCTCATTTTGAGTAGATTCCCTGCTGTTTAAACGATATATAAATATCTCCAATCTTTGGTGAGTGTTTACTCGGCAGTTGAATGAAAATGGAAAATATCGACCCTAAAAAGTGAATTCCACTTGCTAAGTCAGGGACCTTGTTCTAGCTCTAATGGTGAATCCCCCATGTCATGAGCCTGTTACTGGATATTTAAAGATACTGCAGAATGACTTTGTGACACAGGGTTACGGCCGGCTTTTAAAAAAAATGCTTTTGTCGAAACCCGTGGGCAGGTTTACGTCTAGTTTTTGTGTAATTTCGTGTTGGAATTTAAATACGCTAACGTGTGCAAATTGACCTGGAAATTACACGAAATATAGACGTCTGAAAAAGGGGGGAATAATTTTATATCGCTTTAAAGAGGGTGAGTGTGTTTCTAAAGCTTAAATAAACTACAAACAAAGTCTAAATGTGAAAAGAAAAACTTGACAAAGTTCTATATTCGGGTACAAGTTCCAAATGTGGCCTCTATTTACGAAGCTGAGGTAGTCAATGGGGGCATTTTATGGCTCAACGGCGCGCCGCGGCCCGCCTCGTGCGTGGACCAAAACTTCTCCACTGACCTCGCTCATTAACATAACACTGGGACAAGCACAGTAGCGAAAGTTAATGAGCTGAGGTCTGGTCTGAGCGCCGCGCAGCGCTGGGGGTAGAGAGAAAATACGTAGCCCGATAAAAAGCGCCGCACTGCGCCGCGGCGGCTCGCGTCCCGCCGAGTAAATTCTATTTGCCTTCTGCCCTAAATAGGCATGATAGGTCACATTTATGGAGCTACTATGCACGAAGTCTGAATGTGAAAATACATTTGGTAACAAGTCCTCCTGGTGTGAGTCAATTCCGTAAGAGTAAGACAAGTGACAAGTGTGGCCTTTATTTACGGAGGTAGTCCAGTAAATAGGCCACATTTATGGGGCTAGCGCATAATATAATAAACAATATCGCTCATACGGTCATAATATGGGTCTACAACCACAAACATGACAAAAGTACAAGTCTACGGGCATACAGAATTTAGGAATGGTAAGTGGGCGTACCAAAAGTTAAACTACGTTAGGCATTGAGCTGAGAACACAAAATAATCAATGTTCAATCTTGTCATTTGACGTCAACATACTGATGCATTTTTTAGGGCGAATGTCATGACTTTAAATATATATTAACTGAATTCATATTAAGGATAATGAATACTATCACTAACCTGTAGCTGTCGGAGAGAATGTGCGACCTGAGGAAGGAATTCCAAAGAAAATTCGTTGACACTTTCCAGACATTCAGTCAGCCAAAGAGGTACGCCATCATTAATCTGTCAACAAGTCATCAGCGCCCCCTCGTGGCAGGCACGCGGTGCATAACCTGTGGCCTGTGGTGGTATGCCCTACCTACCGTCGCGCTCCGTGTGAACAGTTTTGCCAGACTTAAAATTTGCAAAAATATACCCCTAAAAGCCTATTCGACGAAATTTCATCCCACTTTTGAACCGAAAACAGCAGCTGTCGGCTGAAAAATTGCCTGTGAGCCGGACAAAATTTCACGCAATTGTGCTCGCGCGCTCCGTCCAGACTCCGCCGCATGCACGTGGTTGAGTACTAGGGCTTACGAGTAGCTTTGATTGGTCCTTGAAATATCAGACATCTTTTTTGATCAATATGATTGGGTGAGAGATTTTCATGCAAAGGGTGTAACAGACGTTTTGCAATTTGTTTATGCCCATGACCTACTGAGGTAAAATGAGGAATGTCCCCCAAAACCTTGTTTTGAGACCGACGCCTGAAGTCGGATATACTCTCAAAATCATGTGAAAATCGTCTTTGATTGTTTTGTATTTTTGAGTAGCCAAGGCATCCAAGAATCAAACTATGCATTTTTGTTGGGAAAAAAATACCCACAAATAAAAGTGTAAAAAAACGAAGAACGTTTTTCACTGTCGTTGGCGGCGCAATGCGTGTCTTTTTTTTTCAAAGCCGTTTTACTCGAAATGAGGTAAGAGAAACTTGGCACCGGCAGGACACTATTGAAATTCCTGCATTATAGCTCCATGATTATAGCTTTGGGAAAAAAATTAAGCTACGGACATAAATTTGGTGTCATTGGAAAGCCAATGATTTGCGCTTTAACGTGATGTACATTAATTCACGCCGGAATTGAATAGAATCAATTTCAAATTTGGAATCGGAATCGCGATTCCACTTTTTTGGAGGAATCAATTCTCTGGTGGAGCCGATTAAAAAGGAAAATGTAGAGGATCCAGCCGTGGCGGTGTGAAACAACCTTCACAATCGAACATAGCGAGCTCATATCATGACTAATAAATTATTGTAATGAGACAAAACATAGATAATATTATTGCTGCCCCAATCCAACCTTCGAATTTGTTGGCGGGTCACTCCCCCCCCCCTTCCCAAGCCCGTAAATGGTTCTGGATTCGCCGAAGTGTACGCAGAACCAACGGGATCGATCGGATATGGGTGGGGGCGGAGGCCAAGGGGCTATTTTTAAGCTTTCTCTTATGCATCGCGTCAGATACCTTGGCTTCTTAGATAATGATTGGAAGAAAGTTTTCATTCATTTTAAAACATTTGACAGCGCCCTCTGTCGCTAATGAATTTAACGTCTTGTATGTCGCGAAATGTAACTCATGAAAAAGAAAAAAAAATGCGTCGAATACATTTAGTGATTCACTACTTCGCTACTATACTCTGTGAACTAGATAGGCCCTTTTGTAAGATGCAGTTAAATTATATTGATGAGGTAATATGTGAATAAATCAAATAAAAAATTCGGAGCTACAGCGGTGCAGTGCGAGGATGTGTAGACGATCGTCGCTTGGTGGCGCTATTTCATTTTAAAGATAAACAAAGACCAAGTTGTGTTTTTATCTTCGAGCTGAATTTTACATCGCAATTCTCTTCAGAAAGAAAGATGCTGGGACCCATTGCAAGAGCCCTGATAAGGAAGGGTGAGAAATCGAATTACATGTATTAAAAAGAATGTTGTAAGTTGTATTGGAAAGAATGTAGTATCCAGACGCCACTTCAAGGGTGTGGTTGTGTACAAAGTCATGAAAATCAACACTGAACAACACCACAACTTCACGTTTTAACTTTTTTTATTAATACTTTTATGTTGAAGTATTAATACTATAGTTCCCGATTTTTCTCAGTGCCGGATCACTCAAATAAAAACCTAGCCTACCTCTTTGGCACAATTGCAGAATACCCCGCCACTCGATCTATCCACCTCGTAGCCGGCTACGAGGTCACGGCTGATTGACCTCAATAAACATTCTCAGCGCTACTTGTATACACTATGCGTCATGCTCCATTGCACTCCCACTTCGTGACCGCGTAGCCGCCAACAGGGTAGTTGGTTTGGACTTAGAATTTTTTCAGCAACTCCCGTTCCTTTTGTGTTGCTTCGTTCTCAAGCATATTCAAGGGGACTCCCACTCCGTAGCCTCGTAGCCGCCAACAGGGTGGTTGGTTTGGACTTAGAATTTTTTCAGCAACTCCCGTTCCTTGTGTGTTGCTTCGTTCTCAAGCATATTCAAGGGGACTCCCACTCCGTAGCCTCGTAGCCGCCAACAGGGTGGTTGGTTTGGACTTAAAATTTTTTCAGAAACTCCCGTTCATTTTGTGTTGCTTCGTTCTCAAATAATGGACCCCCACTCAGTATCCGCGAAGCTGGCAATGGACTTGAATTGTTTCTTTTGCAGTGATTCCAACCTCGTAGCCAGTGATTTTAGGGGTGTATTTCCGAGTGGCGGGGTATTCTGCAATTACTCCACCTCTTTCGAATTGGTACTATTTTTTTCTGACAAATTGCAGTTTTAAAGGAAAATGTAACTAGGGGAAAAAAATGTAACCTGACGCCACTTCCGCGATTGTGTACAATTATACAAAGTCTATGGAGAGTCAAGAATATTTTCTAAGACTATTTCCTAACAAATTAGACATGTTTCTCAGTCCCAGATTCATGTCGTATCATTTTTGCAATGAATGACTGTCCTTCATTGAGATTATATAGGGCCTATGAAGAAAAAAGTGGCATCAGGTTGCAACATTTGTTTCCAATGTAACTTTTTGTAAGCTTGCTACGCAAAGATCTTTTCAATAAAATCTCTAGAAAAGGAATTTTGGCCATAGGCTCGCACTTTGATATTGTATAGACCGTTTGTAGAAAATCACGGGAGCCGCGAATTGACGATAAATTTTCTTCTCGGTTCATCGCTCAAACCTTGTGATTTCAAATATTTTGTTCATACTCTAACTCTACAGTGGAATTTACTCTTGCATCAAATGTTTGTTGAAGCAAAATAAGTTGTAGAGTCCCTAATCTTTGAAAATTTGCCAACGAATGACCATACGTTTTCGCCAGATTGCGCGTAAACAAAGGACCCAACTACACGCGCATTAATTGATTTTATGTGAAGTATTTTGATGGGATGGCACTTATATCAATTTATTTGACTAGTTGGCAACATTAGAAACATGCAGGTATGTCACAGATAGAGGGCAGGGTTTTGAAATTTTGAGGGAAATTTAGGGGTAAAATGAGTATGACAAAACACAAGATTGCGATCACCACTATGTACCATGAACGCGCAAGGCGCGCTAAATGGCACGGAACCAACCGTTTCTACCCAAAGAAACACAAAACTAAAGATTGCGATCACCACTATGTACCATGAACGCGCAAGGCGGGCTGAATGGCACGGCACCAACTGTTTCTACCCAAAGAAACTGTCCAAAATTACAAAAAAAGGTATCATTACTAGAACAGACCTAAGTCCTAATATTTAAGCTTCGTTCCATGTGCGCTTTCCTATGAGAGCGACTCTCTTGTGAAAGCGCACAAATGTAAAAACAAAGCTTGACGTCATTAGGTCTCGGGTCTATTGAGAGAAGTCTGCTGTAGGTTGGAAAAAGTCATTTTTTTTAATGATCACCTTTGACTCTAGACATAGCCATGCTCCAGAAATGCGTAGAAACACTTGACGCATGAGATTGTAGTGGTTCCCGGACCTGGATGGCCTACCATTTGGTTCGTGCATGACTCGGAGTACCAGCGTACCGTGCGTGATCTCAGAAAATCAAAAGTTCAGCTCATACGTTTGTTGTTGTGTCGAGGTCGTTTTTTCCCCTCAAACCTCTTGGCAATGCATGATCCTACACTCGCGTGAATTTACAGAAAGCTTTGTATGCAAGTACTTATAATACTTGCGAAATGACGTACCGTGTGACAATTTCGAGGGTATTTGCGCGGAGACAGAGCGTGGTGTTCTTTACAACGCCACATTCATTGGTCTACCCCGACTCTAATTTGATAAAAACTAAAGAGGGGCCCGTGCCATTTTTTTACGACGGCTAAGTGGAACTTGAAGAAAAAAAAAATATGGTGATCACCACAATGCATTTTGAATGCACAAAACTGCATCGATTTGTGTGGCATTAACTCAGCATGGCTAGTAAATTGGTGAGAAAGGTGTTTAAGACCTTTTGCCTACATTTGTATCTACCCAAAAAGTACTGTGCAAAATGTTTCAAATACAGGGTCATTAGGATAAAAAACACACGATGGAACAAGCTCAAATTATATTTACAGTTAAAACACCTGTTCAAATGACCAGTCTTGTGAATGGGTTTTCTAGCAGTAAACCCAGGTTTGATCCTCTCTCATGATTTTCGTGTTTGTCTTGTGAGAAATTCAAGAGCATTTAAAGTCCGAAAACAAATGTACAGTGTATCGGATTCTGTGCAGTTCCCGTATGTAAGTCAGTGTGGTTCCTAGGGCACTGCATATTTTAGGGACCCTATTCCTCTGGGGGTAAATCACTCCAGTTTATACTCGTAGTAAGCACAATTGTCCAGCGTCTGGGAATACTTGGCATCGACTTCAGCAACGGTGGCGCTGTTGAGCTGGCACATCTCCCCCATCAGGTTGAACGATTGGCACGCCAGGTCCTCAGAGCAGGCAATGCAGCACTCTATGTGGCTCCTCATAGTGAACTGGTCAATGGTGTGATTGGTCAGGCATCGTGGCTGGTCGTAGGGTACCATGGCGCAGGACAAGGATCGGGAACAGCTGTTTGGTTTTGCCGTACACATGATCTTCCTCTCTAAGCTACAATTCAGCCCACGCCATACCCCCAGATGGAAGATCATAACAGCACAGTCACCTATGTCCACGTGATCAGGGCTCCAGTTTGCATAATTGCCGGGGTCTTCTGAGCAGATGCGCGGAGTATCTGTCTTTTGACAGCGCATCCAAGGATTCGGATTTATCCCGTTGTATGGAATATAATCTGCATATATCATCTGCTGTACAAAGTCATTTTCATCCTGAGATGTGGGCAGAACCATGTCCCCTCCGAGGCTTTTGCACAGTGCGCGACCATAGGACCATGAGTAGCTTGTTTGTGGAATCAGGTAGCATGTTCCCTTGTGAAGTACCCATTCCGAACTGGGACAGATTTTCGCGATGGATGCCACATGCTGCACACCGATGGCCAAAGTTAGGAAAATCACAATGCCCATAGCGACTGAATGTACAAGTGCACTTCTTGGGGGGAAAACTTTCTCAGATGTAAATGTTCAGTGCAGAAACACCCTCAATGAGTTGCGTCCTCTTAGCAGAGTTATAGCATCATTGCGGAGATGCACAGAGTCGCAAAAACAAGCAAATTTGCACACTTCCTTATCAACACATCATACAAAAACATGTACCAGTACTTGTAGCTGGTAAGCCTGTGATCAGTATGCTACCTGTCTCTCAAATAGGTTCTGATGGTGGGCATTCTCATCCTTTGTACGCTCATCACCAGAGACATGGAGATGCAATGAAACAAAGTGAATCTACCGAGTATGAGATTAATTGCGCATGTGTGTGTGTACAGTCACTGTTCTGTCACTGACACTGCACTCCTGTTTGTACCGATGTGCTGTAATCAGTCACAGCTACTCATGCAAGGCCGTTTTAGTGGGTCCTGAGATTTCATTAAGCCAGTTGATCTCACATGAGCCTGTTTATCACAAGGCCTGCTTTGGGGGGAAGAAAAATCCATATGAAATTTGGCATTGGCACAGTGGTCGTCATCGATTCAATTACATATCTCCAGGGTTTATTGATTGATTCGCATTGATTTTTAAAAAGAATGGTTCTCAAGACCAATCCAGGTTGAGGCTTGTGTCGTCATAGAAACAATTACGGCCAAAATTCTGTAATAGCTAGTATTGATTTTGTAGGAGGCATGGACCGTGTTCAATCTTAATTAAATGCATGTGGTAGATAGGAGAAGATCAGTGATGTTGGAAATCACTGCTAGACTATAAGCGTAAAAGGTGATCTGATACACCGTACCCTCTGGAGATGTGTGTACAATAAGGAACAAAAGATTGTATACGTCTCCACAGGGCAATTTCTATAGATAAATACGTCTCCACAAGGTTTTCACGAAATAGATGGATTTTACTCAAAAACTAACGCAAATGGAAGAGTTTTAGAAAAGGGATATTAAGTCCAAATTTCAGCCAAGGAAATTAATTCTGGTTAGAATAAGAGCATTTTTAAACTACACTTTCAAACTCGAAATCTTTAGTACACGAGAACAAAGGAATGTCTCCACAAGGATACAAATTCCAGTATGTGTGTGTACATGTATGTGTGTTCAGGAGTTGTTCCAAGCGGATGTCAGTGGGTGACTCACTCGCGAAGCCACCTCACCTGCAAAGCTGGCTAGAGCTAGCCTTGTTAAGGCCCCCCCTCCCCCGAAAATACACCTTGTTCTGATGCAATATTAACAATTTAAATGCATAACAGTTTTGTAAAGATCAGTTTGTCATATTTCATACTTGACAGATTAGCCTTGAGTAATATAGCGTACTAATTAGTGAATGTTCAATATTGTTTCATGGCAAAATCAATGGGCCTTGCTTTCGTTTGCAGTAAACAAGACAGTCCCTCCCTTCCTGTTAATTACTTCAGGGTCTTACTAAACTTGTTTACCCACTCGTACACACCCAAAATTAGGTAAATGTTCAAAGCTCCATGCTTGGCATCCAACAGTAAATGTCCCTTTTTTATTCAAAGAAAAAGGGAGTAGCCTTGTCCTACTCCGTGCATATCTACAACATCAACTATATTGTTGCATGTCTCAGTTTGATGTTCTACAGATGATAACCCCACTAAGGTATTATAAGTACTAGAAACTTGATATACATGTAAAGCTAAGAATTTTGATAATCATTTGAAGAATACAAAATGTTGTCCCTCAATTCAATTCCTGGTACTCTGAACCACCAGTTCATGCTCACAGTCACTTTATTCCCTTCACTGGCTTTCAAGATTAGGCAACGAAACATTTTCTGCATTTCCTGGGCATAATTGAAACCGATTTCCATTTTCAACACAAAACTATTTACCTACATGCATTAAATTGTGTCACCATCTAACCCTCAAAGATATGTCGAAATTCACAAAGTGGGTTTTGGGATTATTTTGCAGGATCTAAAGAGGTGGAGGCCCAACCACTTTTACTTTTAAAACATGTGGCACAGTGTTTCTTGAGAGTTACTGTGTTAAGTATAAAGAATGTGCCTTTTTCTCTTTTCAAGCAATGGATTTTGGAGGATTCACATGAAGGTTCCCAGAAATTAAACGCCTCGAGAATTGCGTGAAGGATCGATAAGCTGATGATTTGTCCTTTGGTGTTTTATTGACAGCTCCCGCAGCCAGGTTGCAGTCGGCCGTCGTGCGCCGCCGCATGGCCACAGAGTACACCGAGCTACCCAAGGCATCCGGTGCCGTCTGGCTCCTGGGTGGCATTGGGATATTCTCTGCCGTCTCTGTGTGGGTGAGGCCACTCTCATTAACTCCCTTGTTGACAAGTCTAGACTAATTCAGAGGCCTCGGACTGCATTGGCCTCAGTCCCTTTTGGTCGAGTTTCAAGTCTGATTTTTTTTCATCACTGTGTAATTACATCACGTGTGACTCTCCAGGGCCCAATTTCACGATGCTGCTAAGCACACGATTTTCTGCTAACAGAGCCTCCGTCTATTTCATGGAGACCGTAAACATAAGCACAGCAAAAGGCACGCTTACTTCGGAGGAAAAATGTGCTTAACTTAGTGACGTAACAATAGAAATCTCCATGCACGCGCGACCGTTAGCATACACACGCCGTGAAATAGTGCTTTAGGTTAGCAATTTTTTTCTGCTATGCTAAACACAACTTTTCTGCTAACTGTTAAGCAGCGCCGTGAAATTTTGCCCTGTACACACTGCCACCGTTCCAGCCTGGCATGTCATATGTATGTGCAGGTATGCACGTGCATGGAAATAAATGACGGCAGTGATTGGTTAAATAAAATCATGGGGCGGGGCGCGGGGCTTTTTGAATTGGTCTATTGGCCTATTTGTCATTTGTGCCCTTTTTTTTCGCTTGAAGCCACAAAAGTGCTCAATATCTAAAGAAAGATGCTTAACAACTAACCTGATGAGGTTTTAGCTCAGTGCATGCTGTAAATTCCATGAAAGCAATATGCTAGGATCGCAGTTTAAATTCAAAAGTTGCATAGTCAAGTTTTGAATTGCACCCGAAATCAGCGTCCGGGACACGTTCTCGTTCAGCTGATTGCAGCTATGCGATGTCACGCACTTAACCCACGAATCATAGCAGTTGCACGTGCGTCGTGTCAAATGCTTGCACGCACCCATTCACGGCTTCGCCAAACTAACAATGAACTACTAACTTGAGAATTTGTTCGGCGTGGGCTCTTGCATCTTCCTGAAGGATGCATTGATTTTCAGAAAGTTATTTTCATCAAGGATGACATTGTGAGGGTTCATCGAACCAAAAGATGTAACCAAATAATCAACACGACGACAATCAACTATTGGAAAAACCAAGAAGTGTACTGTTTATTGATTCCTTATTAAAAATCCATGTCAGTGTCCTCGGTATTAAAACGTCTGCCACCCCCCCCCCTGTTTTTTTTTAAATTCAGCTTTACTTAATGAATCTCCTTTTTTTGTTCCTTTTTGCTTTGCAACAGGTAAACTACAATGACCTCGTTGTTTGGGGTGTGGCTCCAGAGCGACCAAAGGCTGAGTAGAGAGCTAACGTCCTACATTAATAATGCAATTATATAAATGGTAAATAGCCTTTTAATGTTATTCATAAGATGAATTTGCGTCAGGTCGATGTAAATCAATATCAGGTTTTGCCCTTCATCGACGTATAAATACTGTATACTCGGTGTGTTACCTCCCGAGTGAAAGTTGGAAAAAAAACTTTCCAACTTTCACTTGGGAGGTAACACACTGAGTATACAGTATTTATACGTCGATGAAGGGCAAATATCTAATATTGGGCCTTTTTATGCTTAAATTACTTGTAAACATGTGCAGAAAACGTAATACATATCTTTCATGGTTTTTTTTCTGTTCAGTGTTCACATTTCTTCAAATTAATATTGAAGTGGGTTCCAGAGGCATTTTGTGATTGCTAGAGCTTGCTTTTTTGTAAGCTGATAAAAACTTTGAAGATGATAGTCAATAAGCACCAATGTCCTGTAGACCATTATCATGTTGCGGCCATTTGAATTTTTCCAATTCAAATCAACGTAACCAAAGCGAAACTGGAAGGAAAAATAGTCTGGTCCTTTCTTGCACAGAAACAGTATCATACAGTACTGTTATTGGAGACAGGGAATATGACTGAAATGGTGGCAGCATGCTAAAGGTCTTTTCCTGAAACAAGATGGGGACGGCCTTGCAGATATTGAACATGTTATTGATGAGCTAAACTGAAGCAACTAACAATGCAGATTACAGAATTTTTATTGGGTTTTGTGCTTCGTCAATGTGAGCCCCAAATTATGCAAATAATTATCACAACACTTTGGCATCATGTGGTTGGCTTGTCAGTGCTGCGATCATTGATGTACTCATTGTCCCTGTCTTTCATCCTCCTTTGCAGATTCTGGTACCCTGAGTAGAACTGGAGTTTATTGAAAATAGAATATTGAATCAACTCAACATACATCAAAGACAACTCAAGCTGTTCAAGATATATTACTGCGTGACTCGAGGAGCCCAAGTAACCCATCTTCTGCGAGTTCCACTCAAATAGTTTGTCAGTTTTCAGTATGTACATGTAGATGTCCTCTTTCATTGGGACAAATACATGTAGATGCATAGCATGACACAAGTAATGCTATAATTGATTTGCTCTCCAATAATTTTTGCCTAGCACTTAACATTGGCTTAGGCCAACAAAAGTGGTGCGGTGACGTGGCTTTTTTTTCTTTTTACTATTTTTTCTTCAAATGTCGGCTGATTGACTGCAAATGGTGCCCGACTAAATTGAGTGCAAAATGTATGGGAGCCCAGAGAGGCCACATAAAGCTTATACTCGATCGTAACCCCATCTAAAAAAACGTTACAATTGTACAGCAGCAGGATTCCAGTCAAACCCATGAGTTTGGCGGCTTTGAGACATCATCTTACATTGAAAAAAAAACAAACTTTTTAATGTTGCCGACGCGTATGGCTACGGCGACGCGCGCGCAGACCAGAAACCGGAACCATTTTTTTTGGCCTTAGTAGAAATTGGTCCCACAAGACTCTCGTCCTAACTTCTGTAGTGTTTTAAGGGTTTTATAAATGAGCAGTAATCATGTGGTCAATCATAAACAGTAGAAGTAGCAATCATAAGGAAAACATGTTCACTGCATTTTAATCAAAAAGATTCTGAAATCTGTCCAAGTCAGGTGTATTTCATTGGAAAAGTCAGGCATTTTGATGCACGAGCTGGCATTTTTCCTCTTTAATTTTCGTTTCGAATAGTAGTAGTAATACTGTTTAGAGTGTCTTTTACTTTTAGAAGTAGATCATGATGTTTGGAGTGAATATGTTGGAAATGCATGTAATGCATGTAACTATTTAAAATTTAAAAGCAAACAAAATACACACACAAAGATTAACAGTTTGAAAGGCCAGCATTTCTTTTAATATAAAAAAAAATGTCAATCATACTTGATTTATTTAGGGCGATTCTTATTTTTATAGAATATTTAACAAAAATCACTACATTATGAATCTTTCCAAATGTCAAAAAAATAAACAAAATAAAAAATTGGGGATCAGCTTCGTAGTCTGACCTCTGGTTCCGACAAACCATAATTTAGCCTAAAGTGTGAATAAATTGTATACAACTCTGCCCACACGTCGCATGGCATATAAACCTTTTTTGGTCAAACTTTTTAGTTGACAAAATACTTCTGAATGTTGTTCTCAGATCATGTTGACTAATTCTTTTCCATTATTTTCCACATCTCATTAATATGTTCAATATAATTATGACATACATATACTGTGAAATTGTTTATAGTGCCAAGTGTTAGCCAACTGTCCATCATGCTGAAATAAAGGTAGATGCAATATTCATGTTGTGTCATTGGAAAATAGAAGACAAATTTTGTTGTCTGATATATTTTTGTGTGTAGCAAAATGTCATAGTTTGAGGAAACAGTCCCTACTTCTATGCCTTAAATTCTTTTTTTTTCTCCACAAGACTGACACGAGAAAACTTGGTGGTCGCAAAAAAAAGACAGGCATGATTTATCTCATCAGTCTCACCCTTCAAGTTGTTGTAATTCAGACATGATTCCAGTCAATTGTCTCACTGTAGACTCGTCCCTGGAAATGCAACTGGTTCTGACGTCAAACCCCTCAGCCAAGTCCTACATTGTGCAAGACCAGCAGAAGGCTGAGTAGTTCCTTTAAAAATGTAGACAAGCTGCTACGTTCTGTTGAAAGTGAGTTGGACCTCTGCGTATGTGCATCATCTGACAGGAACTATAGATTATCTGCAAAGGACAACAAAAACACAAATGACTTTATTAAAATGTCACTTTCGGGAAAGAAATGGGCAAGAGCAGATGATAAGGGCAGATGGCAAGGTACATGTATAACTAGTAGTGACAAAATAAGCCCAGGCTCCTATTATTACATCAAATGTCAACCATTTAGATGAGTACGCTGCAGATTCCAATTATTATCTCATTAGACCTGATCACATTTGACAGCTGAGGGGTAGACAAATAAAGTTGGTTTGCTATGAACTGGGGAAGCAGTACAGAAGGCCAAAACACGGATTATACGGTACACCGCCTTTTAGCAGTGACCTGATCTTGATGGCATAAAGAAAACTCCATAATGTTTTAGTAGACATTTGAAGTATCATTTGTGCTGCGTAGAGATATCCCTAACCTTTGGATGTGGGAGCTATCAACATACGGAATGTCGACTGCTTGATCTTCTTATGGATACTGATGGTACATGTTGACTGTACGGTACGCTCTTTAAATTATATGAGCATTGACATGTGTATGCAACTTCTTGAATGACACATGTATTTACGAATAGTCTTCAATCGGCATTTCTATTCATGAACATGAACAGCGAAAAAAAATAGCATTTTAAATAAATCTACCTATATTTCTATCTGCTCGTCCAGCAACCATGGAAACTACAGCCAATGCACAACTGACCACAAACTCTACAGGAGAAGATGCAATTGTGTCAACACCATTTGCAATTCTCGTCAAGACTTTGATGGTCACTGCCATCGTTCCGAACCTCCTACTGAATCCACTGATGCTTGTCACTTTGCGTCGCGTCACCAGCATCCAGCCAACAACCAAAATATTCATGGCTTCTCTCACCCTGTCTGATCTGTGCAGCAGCTTTTGGTCGATCCTAAGCCTAACATCATTGTTTGCTGACACTTGGTTGTTGGGTAATTTTCTTTGTGCAACAAATCAGGTGATGCTATTCCTCTTTACTGCGCTCAGTGTTAGTACGCTCCTTCTTCTCACTGTGGATCGTTACATTGCTATTTCCCATCCTCTGCGGTACCCCTCAATAATGACCGTTTTAAAAGCTAAGATAATTGTATGCAGCGCATGGGCTACAATCATCATATCCTCCATTCTGCTAAATGGGATAAATCCTTACTATACTGTACAGGTTACTGGTCATAACAAGAGAACATGTGCATCAGAGACATATGACTGGAGAGTATATCTAATTCTTGTATTGGCAGGGCTTGGGCTACTGACCATATTCATCCTGTATGGACGCATCGCCCTGATAGCTCGCAATCAAGCCCGACGCATTGCTGCTGAAAACCAAGCAGGCAATGGTCAAGGTGCACAGAGAATAAACACCAGATAAACCACCACCATCATCATCATAACAGGGACTGTAATCATCACCTGTATTCCTAAACTGATAAGGTTGGCAATGGCTTCACAAAACCAATGGGAGCCTTATGAAAGCTACTTGGCCCTAATGTTAACAGAAGCCATGCTGTTGTCCAATGGCTGGATGAATGTAATTATTTACTACCTGAGGAACAAGGACCTTCGCCATGCACTGTTAGGATTACTAACTGACTGGCGCCAAAGACTGTCCCAAAGATTCCGACCGTAACTGTCAGAAAATACAGTCAGCAAAGAATACATTTTGAAAGGATGTTTTACAGGTACCCGATGGACAACAATGACTGCGGGGAGGCACCCCAACTATGAAGCACCTCCTAAACTGCCCCCTCCTACCACAGCCCTGCAAACTAGAGGATCTCAAGGATTTCAACCCGTGTTGCCAAAGCCTGTGACATTATGCAGTGGATAGGACAAGTGTAGCGACACGACAACAACAACTAAGGATAATCAGCATTCCAGAGAAATCCAGGGATTAATTCCTTCAGAGTACCAGCCACTGTCAGGTCAGTGTAATGAGCTTCATGTTGATCTAAGCATGGAGGAGAAGTTGGTTCCGAGTGTTCTCCCAGACCTGTTTAAAAGTAGAAGCTTTTGCTTCTTAGCAATTGCTTATTGTTATGTATGAAAATGTAAGCAAAAACCTTGAAACTGCAAGATTTATGTATTCGGCCCAATAAGAGGGCATGTAATGTGGTTTGGGTAAAATCATTTGTATTACCCAAATTAAAAAATGGCCTCCTCCTATTGTATCGGACATGATATACCGGTATATGTATCCAAAAAGGGCTGATTTACAAAAATGTGTATGATTTATGCTAACAAAGGACAATCATTGACAGAAGAGGAAAAAAACTTGCTTATGAATAGACGCGCCGTGTAACAACCGCCTGAAAACCACACAGGCCCCTATTATTACATCAATGTCAATCATTTGGCTGAGTATGCTGCAGATTCAAATTAATATCTCATTAGACTTCATTATATTTGACAGCAAACAAACTTGGTGCCAGTATGTCATGTGATGGGGAAGTAGTATTAGAGACCATAAACAGATTGTGCTGTGCACCTTTCTTAGCCAAAGTTGGTTTAGTATGCGCTGGGAAAGGAGTGGAAAGGACCATAACATATTATGCTTCACATCTTCTCTATTTTAGCCAAAGAACCTAATCTTGATTCGTGTGAAGGATACTCCAACAGCAGATTTGAATGTCACATGTGCTGCATGGAGATATTTCTAACTTTGGACGTTGGAGATAACAACAAACTGTATGCCAACTGCTTCACCTTGCTACAGATGGTACATACCTGGGTACCTGTAGTGTATGCTCCTGAAATCAAATGAGCATTGATATATCTGCAGCCTCTTGAATGACACGTTTTAAATAATCTTCTATCAGCATTTCCATTCAGGTACACAAACAGCAAAACAATTTAGCATTTTAGATAAATCTACCCAAGTTTCTGTCTGCTCATCCAGCAACCATGGAAACTACAACCAATGAACAGATGACTGCTACTTCAAACTCTACAGCAGACATGGCAGAAGATGTTATTGTGTCAACACCATTTGCAATTCTCGTCAAGACTTTGATGGTCATTGCCATTGTTCCCAACCTCCTACTGAATCCACTGATGCTTGTCACTTTGCGTCGCGTCACCAGCATCCAGCCAACAACCAAAATATTCATGGCTTCTCTAACCCTGTGTGATCTGTGCAGAAGCTTGTGGGGGATCCTAATCCTAACATCGTTGCTTGCTGACACTTGGCTGTTGGGATCTTTTCTTTGTGCAGCAAATCAGGTGATGCTATTCTTCTTTACTGCGCTCAGTGTTAGTACGCTTCTTCTTCTCACTGTGGATCGCTACATTGCTGTTTCCCATCCTCTGCGGTATCCCTCCATAATGACCGTGTTCAAATCAAAGATAATTGTATGTAGCACATGGGCTACAATCATCGTATCCTCCATTCTCATAAATGGGATTAATCCTTTTTATACTATACAGGTTATTGGTCATAACAAGAGACTTTGTGTAGCAGAGACATATGACTGGAGAGTATATCTAATTCTTGTATTGGTGGTACTTGAGCTACTGACCATATTCATCCTGTATGCACACATCGCCCTGATAGCTCGCAATCAAGCCCGACGCATTGCTGCTGAAAACCAAGCAGGCAATGGTCAAGGTGGGCAGAGAATAAACACCAGATCAACCACCACCATCATCATCATAACAGGGACTGTAATCATCACCTGGATTCCTACACTGATAAGGTTGGCAATAGCTTCACAAAACCAATGGGAGCCTCATGTCAATTACTTGGCCTATATTTCAACAGAAGCCATGCTGTTGTCCAATGGCTGGATGAATGTAATTATTTACTACCTGAGGAACAAGGACCTTCGCCAGGCACTGTTAGGATTACTAACTGACTGGCGCCAAAGACTGTCCCAAAGATTCCGACCGTAACTTTCCAAAAATACAGTCAACAAAGCATACATTTTGAAAGCATGTTTTACAGGTACCACGGGAATGCACAGACAATTTTGCTGCCTTATCCACAAGACAAAGAATATTTGATTTTGGAAGGATTTTATTTATAAGACAAGTAAACACTGCAAGACTATGACACCCCCCCCCCCCCCCATGGAAATATTTAGAAAAAGTTAGCTGTTATCACAATAAAGGACAGAAGAGGATTGATTACCAAAACGTCTTACCATCAAAGCCTTGCACGTTGAGCCATCCAAGCGAACAATCTCATGATGGACTCATCTTGGTGAGTGCCACTGGTGTCTTCATAATACCCCATGGCCAGGTGCTACCATATAAGTAAGAGAGGACATGTGAGGCTGTGTGAGTCCCTTAATTCTGTCCCCTTTAGAGATGTCTTGGACTTCTTTGCATTCATGAACTGATGGAACTCTCATCCCTGAAAAGTGGGGGGAACAAGAAACAAGAAAAAAGAGTAGAAATGAGTTGATTTACATGAACAGTTTGTATAGGTACAAACATTTGGTTGTTGCAGATAATTTAAATTTTGTAGCAATTTAATAGATGATCCTGACCACGTCATGCACTATTGTGTTAGGCAAATCACCATATAAGTACTCAATGTCAGGCAGATTGACAGTGCACTCAATCTGTCTGAATGATATTGAGCTACATGTACATGTTTACAGCATCAGTGATTCATGACAATAACTGATGGAAGAACATATTGCCAATCAAGAGAAACAAAAGGATCACTCTAAAAACGGCCCACCATCAATTCCCATCATCACATTTGGACCTCATTAACAGTGATTACAAATGACGGCAGATGTCCCATGAGTACATTGGCTCTGTCCACCGCAGATATAGCCCATATCTCATTGGGCTATATATGACAATCAACAGCGGGCAAACACATTAGGTTTCGTGTGAGCTTGAGAAGAACCCTAATAACCAAAATATATCAGTCTCCATACATTAATCCTGCTTATGCTTTGCAAGTTAGTCATAACAAAAGGTATACCGGCTGTATGATTGATTGATTGTGCCGTCTGAGCTAAATTCAGCCATTTCGGGTACCATACAGGCCTTTGATGAAAATAATTGACAGAATACGTGTAGGAACAAATTGCCAATAAAGAGATGCAGAAAGATCAATATTGAAACAAGTCCAGCCCCCTTATTGCACCAAATGACAATCGGTCGACTCTGTTACACCTGATCTCACTAAACAAACCATGTTTGCCGGGTATATGTTGAGGAAGCAGCAGAAAAGCACAGTACAGTCTGCAAACCATTCTTAGCCATCTCACAGTACGTGATCTTCATGGTACCGATCGATCAAGTTCCTCCACTGTGTTGGAGCAGACATGAAGTATAATATGTGCTGCGTGGGAAATTGCCAACATCAGATGCTGGAGGCACCAAAAAACAGAATGTTATATGTGTAACTGCTTGACTTTCTTATGGATACTGATGGTACATGCACTGAAGCATGTCTGCAATCTCTTGAATGACACATGCTTTTATGCCAAAACAAAAAGTAATCTTGAATCAGAATTTCCATTTATTGACCAAAACAGGGGGAAAAAAATAACATTTGAGATGAATCTACCCTGTTTCTGTCTACTCTTCCAGCAACCATGGAAACTACGTCCAATGCACAAATGACTACTGCTTCAAACTCTACAGCAGAAGCTACAACTGTCTCAACACCATTTGCAATCTTTGTCAAGATTTTGATGGAAACTACACCACAGGAAGCAGAAATAAATACATCCTCCAACTCAACCACAGAGGGTGTCGTTTATCCAACTGCATCAACACCATTTGCAATTCTTGCCAAGACTTTGATGGTCATTGCCATCATTCCTAACCTCTTTCTGAATCCACTGATGCTTGTCACCTTACGTCGTGTCACCAGCATCCAGCCAACAACCAAAATATTCATGGCTTCTCTCACCCTGTGTGATCTGTGCAGAAGCTTGTGGGGGATCCTAATCCTAACATCATTGCTTGCTGACACTTGGCTGTTGGGATCTTTTCTTTGTGCAGCAAATCAGGTGATGCTATTCCTCTTTACTGCGCTCAGTGTTAGTACGCTTCTTCTTCTCACTGTGGATCGCTACATTGCTGTTTCCCATCCTCTGCGGTATCCCTCCATAATGACCGTGTTCAAATCAAAGATAATTGTATGTAGCACATGGGCTACAAACATCGTATCCTCCATTCTGATAAATGGGATTAATCCTTTTTATACTACATTGGTTATTGGTCATAACAAGAGACTTTGTGTAGCAGAGACATATGACTGGAGAGTATATCTAATTCTTGTATTGGTGGTGCTTCAGCTACTGACCATATTCATCATGTATGCACGCATCGCCATGATAGCTCGCAATCAAGCCCGACGCATTGCTGCTGAAAACCAAGCAGGCAATGGTCAAGGTGGGCAGAGAATAAACACCAGATCAACCACCACCATCATCATCATAACAGGGACTTTAATCATCACCTGGATTCCTACACTGATAAGGTTGGCAATAGCTTCACAAAACCAATGGGAGCCTTATGTCAATTACTTGGCCTATATTTCAACAGAAGCCATGCTGTTGTCCAATGGCTGGATGAATGTAATTATTTACTACCTGAGGAACAAGGACCTTCGCCAGGCACTGTTAGGATTACTAACTGACTGGCGCCAAAGACTGTCCCAAAGATTCCGACCGTAACTTTCCAAAAATACAGTCAACAAAGCAATGACAGGCAATGGTCAAGGTGGGCAGAGAATTAACACCAGATCAACCACCACCATCATCATCATAACAGGAACTTTAATCATCACCTGGATTCCATCAGTGATCAGGTTAGCGATAGCTTCACAAAACAAATGGTAGCCTATATTATGACAGTTACTTGGCTGAAATGTTAACACAACATGCACAAGCTCTGCTGTTGTGCAATGGCTGGATTAATTATTTACTACCGTACCTGAGGAACAGGGATCTTTTTTACTTGTATCTGACTGGAGCCAAAGCCTTTGCTAAAGATTTTGGCCATAGCTCAGGCAGAATTGAAGAAACTTCGAAAATCAAGGACATGTTTGGAAACTTTTAGGAAAACGTAGGAAATGCTTCAGTGATAACAATCATCGTTTCCCCATTGAGGTCATTTTAACCACTGCCATTGCCTCAACATCTAATGGCACTAACACAGGATTTTAGTTAATTGATGTTTCCAGAAATGAGTTGTGTTGCGTCACATAAGATGCTGGCAAGATGGAGTATTTCACAGCATTTCTGTCAAAAAAGAAGAAGACGACTTTCCAAGCAATATGCTTAATACATGTGATAAAGTAATGAAATTCTCTAGTCGTCGGTGACTAGCAATAACCCGTTTCAGTGACTTTTTGTCCTCTTCAAGGTAAACGTATAGCACTTCGCAATATTGCACCACCATATAACTCTGGCTTCTCCATATTGATCAAGTCCTTAATTGTGTTATTTGAGCGATACTCTGTATTTTATTAATGACAAAATACAGATAATGACAATCACTGATGCACAGACAGAGACTCATCTTGAAATGAATTCAGGCTCCTCATCAATTTATTTTCGTATAAATAACCACTACTCTGTTTCTATCAGCCAGAGAAGAGGTATAGAAGACCTCAACACATCAGCTTGCACACAATTCCAGTTCTCAGTCATCGGTATACAGGTCATGTACATTGTGCATCAGCTATAGAGTAGCGAAGTGCGCTGCGTATTCTGTTCCACGAGCACAGCTTAAGTGTGTGAAGACATCCGAGCGCGAACCAGAGTGAACCAGAACAATAACAGCTGACGTCACAATTCAGTACTCTATACGTCCCAAATGGATTTGAAGTACCTGTGTATACTTTGTCTCACAGATAACTTTCACTGTGCCAGTTGACGTTACCAATGAACTTAACATATTCTGATGGAGTATTTTATGGAATATGATGGGATAAGCTTTTTCATCAAATCTTTAATAAGCACTTTCTTCAGATGAACTTTATTTATGTACATGTAACTGTGCAAGTACATGCCCACTGCAACATGAATACTACTCAAAATTTCTTCAAAGCAACAAACCTCACCTTTGATCGGGCTTTTGAAAAAAAAAGTACTTAAACAATAGGTACAGTAGATAATGCAAACTCTGCTTCTGCCAAAGACTGCCAAATCATCAAGCAACAATGGAAACAACACCAAGTGCAGCTGAAATAAACACATCCCCCAACTCATCCACAGAGGAATCCGAGTTTGGAACTGCATCAACACCATTTGAATTTTTTATCAAGACTTTGTTGGTCCTCGCCATCTTTCCCAACCACCTACTGAATCCACTGATGCTTTTCACTTTGCGCCGTGTCACCAGCATCCAGCCAACAACCAAAATATTCATGGCTTCTCTCACCCTGTCTGATCTGTGCAACAGCTTATGGTGGATCCTTAACTTAATAGCAGTGTTTGCTGGAACTTGGTTCATGGGTGAATTTCTGTGTGCAGCAAATCAGGTGATGTCATCGCTCTTTAATGCACTTAGTATTGGTGCACTTCTTCTTCTCACTGTGGACCGTTACATTGCTATTTCCCGTCCTCTGCGGTACCCATCAATAATGACTGTGCAAAAATCAAAGATAATTGTATGTAGCACATGGGCTACAATCACTGTATCCTCCATTCTCATAGCTGGGATCGATCATAATACTGTTGCGGTTATTGGTCATAACAAGAAAATTTGTGTACCAAAGACATATGACTGGAGAGTATATCTAATTCTTGTATTGGTGGTGCTTCAGCTACTGACCATATTCATCCTGTATGCACATATCACCCTGATAGCTCACAATCAAGCCCGACGCATTGCTGCTGGAAACCAAGCAGGCAATGGTCAAGGTGGGCAGAGAATAAACACCAGATCAACCACCACCATCATCATCATAACGGGGACTTTAATCATCACCTGGATTCCTATACTGATTACATTGGCAAAAGCTTCACAAAACCAATGGGAGCCTTATGACAGTTTCTTGGCCTATATGTTCACACAAGCTCTGGTGTTGTCCAATGGCTGGATGAATGTTGCTATTTACTACCTGAGGAACAAGGACCTTCGCCAGGCACTGTGTGGCATGCTTTCTGACTGGCGCAAAAGCCTGTCCCAAAGACTCTGGGGTTAGGTTTAAGCACCTCCTTTAAAACTTCAATGAGAAAGTAACAGGCTTTGGCAAGGATTGTTCCCAGGTTAGTCATCTGTATCTTCAGAGACTGATTTGGAAAATACACTGGCAGAATGTCTCATGTGACTAGATAAGCCACGCAAGCAGTCTCACCAGAATTTTAATTCAGAATGAGGAAATTCAAATTTGAGATCAAGTTGGACAAATTAACCCTCCTACAGTATGAACAGTGACAGATAGTTTAAAAGTATCAATCCTCTTCCCTGCAATGCCTTTACACAGGCTAGTCACCAACAGTCATATCATATTTCAAGCAAGCACTGTGATTAGTCAAATTCAGTCAACTGACAAAAAGAAGGCAAGTGGTAGGCACAGCTGGCTTATCATTCACCTACAGTCAAAGCATAGCTATCAAGTTACACAATCAGTCAAAGCCAATCAATCCTGCTTTATGTAGGCCGAGAGCTCTGAACTGTTAAAAACAGTCACCCGATTGATTTTAACTGAAATGACAACTTTGCACAGAATATATGTTTGCATAGGAGGTTAAATTGAGGGTGGGTATGATCAAATTAACAAAAAAACAAAGGAATACTGAAGGGAACAATAATTAATTTTTAAAGTGAACAAAGAAAACAAGGAACAACGTACCAAATTCAGGTTTGGCCAGTAGTTATTCTTTGCATGCAGTCATGAAAATAATCACTGCTACATGTAAGTTGGAACCCTGTCATAGAATCTGGGGAAAAGAGAGAAAGAAACAAGCAAATATAAAAACACTTATATGGTAGGTCGCATCTCATAAGACGGACAAAAGAGGACTTTTTGGTTACAAAAGACAGGGGACAAGATTCATTTCAAAGTCTCATCCTTCCAATTGTTACAATTCAGACATTGGCTATGTGACAATCAACAGCAGACCAACAAATTGAAATAAGGTTTCCTATGAGCTTGGGAAGAACCCTAACAGACCCAAATATATCAGTCTCAGACATTTCAGGGCCATCCCTGTTTTATGTATTTAGTCAGCATACAGTAAATAGTCATCTGATATTCAACAAAGAGTCGTCGGATCTCCGCTTGAAATTTGTTAAAACGTAGGACTAAATGTCGGCCGTGTGAGGCAATTTTGAAGGAAAGAAAGTTACCTCATTGTTATTATTCCATGTGGGCTATTCACGTGCTACTTACAAAATCAGCAAAGAACCTTTTCGGTGACTTTTTGTCCTCATGCAAGTAAACGTTTAGCAGTATGCAATACTGCATCACCATATTACTCTGGCTTCTCCATATTGATCAAGTCCTTAATTGTGTTATTTGAGCGATACTCTGTATTTTATTAATGATAAAGAGCACATAATGACAATCACTGATGCACAGACAGAGACTCATCTTGAAATGGGTTGAAGTTCCTCATCAAGTATTGTGGCCTGTTTGTTGGTTCTCCACATTTTGGAAGCAAATTAAAGTCTCCTTTGGCTTGATGCCAACTTCACTACTCTGTTTCTATCAGCCATAGATTTGGCGCAGAAGACCTCAACACATCAGATTGCACACAATTCTTAGTCACCGGTGCAGGTCATCAGCTTGAAGTACCTGTATATTTTGCCTCTGATACAACTTTCATTGTACATTGTACATGCACCAGTAGTTGGCGTTACCAATGAACTTCACATATTCTGATGGAGTATTCTATGGATTTGACACCATAAGGTTTTTCTTCAAATCTTCAAGAAGCATTTTCTTCAAATGAACATTAATTTCTGGCGCAAGTACATGTCCATAGTAACATGAATATTTCTTGAGAGCAACCAACCTCAACTTTGGATCAGGCTTTCAAAAAAAGTACTTAAATAGGTACATATAATGCCGCAACTCTGCTTCTGCTAAAGGAAATTTGCCTACTCGTCAAGTAACAATGGAAACCACACCAAGTGCAGTAGAAATAAACACATCCTCCAACTCAACCACAGAGGAAGCCGAGTTTGTAACTGAATCAACACCATTTGCAATTTTTGTCAAGATTTTGATGGTCCTTGCCATCTTTCCCAACCTCCTACTGAATCCACTGATGCTTGTCACTTTGCGCCGTGTCACCAGCATCCAGCCAACAACCAAAATATTCATGGCTTCTCTCACCCTGTCTGATCTGTGCAACAGTTTATGGTGGATCCTTTACTTAATAGCATTGTTTGCTGGATCTTGGTTCATGGGTGAATTTCTGTGCGCAGCAAATCTGATGATGTCATCTCTCTTTAATGCACTTAGTATTTGTGCACTTCTTCTTCTCACTGTGGACCGTTACATTGCTATTTCCCGTCCTCTGCGGTACCCATCAATAATGACTGTGTTAAAATCAAAGATAATTGTATGTAGCACATGGGCTACAATCATCGTATCCTCCATTCTCATATATAGGAATAATTCTTTCACTATTTTGGTTATTGGTCATAACAAGGACATTTGTGCACCAAAGACATTTGATTGGAGAGGATATGTAATGCTTGTAATAATGGCAGTTGCGCCACTCCCCATATTCATCATGTATGCGCACATCGCATTGATAGCTCGCAATCAAGCCCGACGCATTGCTGTTGAAAACCAAGCAGGCAATGGTCAAGGTGGGCAGAGAATAAACACCAGATCAACCACCACCATCATCATCATAACAGGGACTTTAATCATCACCTGGATTCCTTTACTGATATCGTTCGCAATAGCTTCACAAAACCAATGGGAGCTTTATGACAGTTTCTTGGCCTTCATGTTCACACAAGCTCTGATGTTATCCAATGGCTGGATGAATGTAATTATTTACTACCTGAGGAACAGGGATCTTCGCCAGGCACTGTGTGGCATGCTTTCTGACTGGCGCAAAAGCCTGTCCCAAAGACTCTGGGGTTAGGTTTAAGCACCTCCTTTAAAACTTCAATGAGAAAGTAACAGGCTTTGGCAAGGATTGTTCCCAGGTTAGTCATCTGTATCTTCAGAGACTGATTTGGAAAATACACTGGCAGAATGTCTCATGTGACTAGATAAGCCACGCAAGCAGTCTCACCAGAATTTTAATTCAGAATGAGGAAATTCAAATTTGAGAATTTGGACAACATTAAGGGTGGGTGTAATCAAATTAACAAAAGCAACGGGATACTGAAAGGGACGAATAATTCATTTTTAAAGCGAACAAAGAAAAAAAAGGGGACAAAAACAACGTACCAAATTCAGGTTTGGCCAGTAGTTATTCTTTGCATGCAGTCATGGAAATAATCACTGCTCAGTTGGAACCCTGTCATGACATCTGGGGTTAAAGAGAGAAAGAAACAAGCACATAAAGATTAAAAAAACAACATTTATAGCTCACATCTCACAAGATAGATAAAAGAGGACTATGTGGTCATAAAAGACAAGGGACAAGATTCATTTTGAAGTTCATTTTGCAAGTTGTTGCAATTAAGACATTATAGCAAAGCTACTCTCTACATAGGCCCATCTTTAGAAGTGCAATTGGTCCCTTGATCACATCAAGTGGCCTAGCCCTACAGTTTAACATACATGTACATTATTAATTTAACATACAGGTATCACAAGTCCTAAGTTCCCCCCAACATTATTCTTAATTAATGAAATAAAAATGCACGATTTCAACAATATCCCAAATGCAAATGACAGAGGACACTCTTCTGCCCATCTTGTGAGAAAATGATAGAAATCCAATCACGCATACCAACACGAAGCTCATTTGAATGAAAAAAGTGCCAATAAAAAAAGTTGCAGTAAATGTACTGGTTTGAGTGATCCTGCAAGGCAGGGTAGACTTTCTTTAATTAATAACTTTACCTTACAAAAGTTTCCTTGTTTAAAAGGATGTTTAACTAAAACAAGATGCAATCTTGGTAATCTAACAGATAATTGCAGACCTTTTAATGCGAAGATGACAAAGAAAATGCTGTGTAATCCTATTACTTTTAGATTAGATACAAAAGGGATTAACCTTCTACCTTTTAAATCATGATCAAACCAGTACATAGGAGCAATGCTATTTACTGCAACTTTTTTTATTGGCACTTTTTTTATTCAAATGAGCTTCGTGTTGGTATGCGTGATTGGATTTCTATCATTTTCTCACAAGATGGGCAGAAGAGTGTCCTCTGTCATTTGCATTTGGGATATTGTTGAAATCGTGCATTTTTATTTCATTAATTAAGAATAATGTTGGGGGGAACTTAGGACTTGTGATACCTGTATATTATAAAATGTTCACCAACAAGGGCATTTTGTTAATGTCTTTTGAAAGTATTTGTTGCATCACATACACGTTTGCCTTTTATTTCACCAGGATATCAGTTTAAATGTTCAAGGTGTAACTTGAAAAAAAGGTGCTGTCCGTCACAGGCAATGGAATTTGTGCATGATACACATCTACATGTATCTCACTGTGACATTTCAAACAATGTAGGAGTTTGTGGGGCTTTGCAGCAGTACTTCAATATTATTACAAGTACTGGTAGATTATACCATGAAAATAATGATCACCCAATTAGTTAAATGAACAAAAAAAAATTAATTTACAAAATGTAAATATATACATGAAGCACTAAGGATTTCAGGGGTGTGAGGGACCACTGATAAAAATAGCTGAAAACAGCTGAAAAAGGTATAAAAAAGCTGAACTTTAGAAATCTCCTATACTTTTGTACACAGCAAGTGAGGGAAAAAAACTGAAATCCAAAACAAAAAAAGCTGAAATCAGCTTAAAAGCTGAGATTTCACACCCCTGGATTTGTTACATTTGAAATAAATTCATTGACTGCTGTGCTGTGTCAAATACAGGGTAAGTCAAAAAAAGCGGAACCCAAACCCCCCAAAATGTATAAATTTCATATTTAAAAAAATATGTAGTACCAAAAATAATAATGACTGGAAAGCCAATTCCAAAAGCTACTTTTAGATGAAAAAATTACTGAAATTGCTCAATCCGTTCAAAGAATACCACCATTTAAACGCAACGACCCTAAAACCTGTCTCGTCCAAAAAATCTATTTATTGTGTGTTTTGACTGTTTGGAACAACAAAGAAAATGACACAGAATACTTGTTTCAACAACTGTCACCAACTGTAGCACACAATATTTTGATTAACAACCCTGGGTAGGCAAACAGTATGATTTATAAAATCTACTACTTTAAAGACGGGCCTTCAAAAGGACTTTGTTGCATATTGTTAACATTTTAACTAAGATTTCATCGCTGGTGATGTTTGAAGAGAATTGTGACGACGATTGCTGAAATCACATTTTTTGGACGAGACGGGTTTTAGGGTCATTGTGTTTAAATGGTGATATTTTTTGAACGGATTGACCAATTTCAGTAATTTTTTTCAATCAAAAGAAGCTTATGAAATTGGCTTTCCAGTCATTATTATTTTTGGTGCTATATATTTTTTTTAAATATAAAATATAATATTTGGGCTTTTTTTGACTCACCCTGTACATGGTATATCATTACGAATTATATGTAGATAAAAGTATGCTACATTGTAGTTATGCACATGTACAGAACACAGTAGTTGCTTGTTAAAATCACAAATTTTGCATGGTACACTGTCAGCAAAGCGCATCTCTCATCAAAATGTTGAAATGTAGGTAATGTAATTATTATATTATCACACAAAATGATGATATCATGGCCATCTTTTCCGAGCCACATTTATGTATCTTGTATGGGCATTTCTCATTGTCCCTATTAAATTAAAGGGAAAATACAACATTTGCAAACATCAAAAAACGAAATGATCAAATTATCACGAAATACCTTTAATACTGAATTGTTAGAGACTGACAGCCTTAAGAATCCTTTCAAATCATGGCTCCTGGTGGGCTGACATTTCCAAGAAGAACTGTATTTTGAAGAACCAGCATTGGAGAAAACTGGCTTTTTTCAAAAACTGTTCTTAATTTTTCATATTTAGTTATTCTGACTTTTCTTTGCAATTGATCACAAACCTGTGAAGAGGTACAAGCTTGCTAGACTGATTATCTGACCTTACAATTCCCCAAAGTGTATCAATTGCTTCGTTTCATCTTAAGTGGGGTCAGGCAACCAGACTTCAAGAACATGATAGGTTTTCTTGGGTTTTTTTTTCAGCATCTACAAGCCCAAAACATGAAACAAGTCAGTTTAACAATATTTTATATAAAATAATGTTCAGATATGTACCAGTAAAATGCACCTGAAATGCGAACTGCTCAATCTTTAAAAATACAGGTAGCCCAACTGTAGAAAGCACAGTACAACTGTAAGTTATTTTTAAAATTTAATGTCTACATGTTTAATCATTTCTTTTTGCTCAAATGGTGTTGAAAATGTGACAATTGATTCTAGTGTTTACTACGTATTTATTGTGTTCAATGAGCATTTTTCATTACAAACTATGTGTAGATAAAAGCATTCTTGTTATGCACTGTAGAAGCTTGTTCAAATCGCAAATTGTGCAGGGTACACTGTCGGCAAAGTGCATAGATTTCACATCAAAATGTTGAAATGTACATGTAGGTAATGTGATACATACAAAACGGTGATGTAATGGCCAACCTTTCCGAGCCACATTTACGTATCCTGTCTGGGCATTTCTAATTGCCCCTAGTAAAATGCACCTGAAATGCGAACTGCTCAATCATTAGAAATAGCCCAACTGGAGATAGTACAGTACAACTGTAAGTTATTTATAAAAATTTCATGTCTACATGTATAATCCTATTTTTCTCTCAAATGGTATTGAAAAATTACAATTTTACAAAATTACAAAATAAATACATACAATGTATGTATTTGTTTTGTATTCAATGAGAATTATTGTAAGTTCTGCTCAAGAACTTGACATTAACATTTAACTCCGTGTACAACTACCCCTTGGCTTCAATGACTAGAAAGGGCGCTAACCAATAACACTGCGATACCTCATCATGAATTTTTCATTTCTCATGAACATTTAATTTATTAAATTAGAAGAAACAAGAGGTTTTTTTTATTACTAAAAAAATGACATTGTCAACCTAAAGCAGATTTCTCTCAATGTAATAACACCTTTTTGGTAATTTTTGAACAGTTTCTTGGTGTAGAAATTATGATTTTCCTTTATGGGCCCGTTGGTGCCCGTGCAGTGCGACTTGCGTGCTCACGGTACATTGCGCGGTGATCGCCATTTTTATTTTCGTGTTGCGTTTATTCATTGTCATTGTCGTTTCACTCCCAAATTTCTCTCAAAAATTCAAAACCCTGCCCTTTATCCATGACATACATGTAGGCCTATGTTCTGAATGTTGCAAACTAGTTTGGTAGGTCAAATAATTTAAAAGTGGATTTTGGGCGATCGTGAAGTGTAGGGCCCCTGTTTTGTTTTGATCCAATTAGAGTCAAAAATGTTTTTATTGCTCAAAAATCACCTTTACAATCAAAAGCAGACTTTTCTCAATTCTAATGACACCCATTTTGCAATTTGAACAGATTCTTGGGGTAGAAATCACAATTTTCCTGTGCAGGTTTGTGCCTTGGGATTCAGCGCGCCGTGCATGCTCACGTCACGGTACATCGTGCGGTGATCGCCATCTTCATTTTCGGGTCGCGTGTTGTCGCCGCGTTGTCAACGTCATTTGACCCCCAAATTTCCCTCAAAAAATCAAAACCCTGCCCTCTTTCTATGACATACCTGTTTATAAATGAGAATGTCACCAACTAGTTCGGTAGGTTCAATAATTTTAAAGTGGATTTTGTTCCCTTAGTTACGCCTGTTACGCGTACGGGCCCTACACTACACGATCGCCAGAATTCCCTAGGAACCGGGCCCGTAGATACATGATCGACAATACTTCAAGTTCAAGTACTTACTAACTTTAAGTTTAATGTATTTTGTTAGTACAGAGAATAAATAAAAGGTTACTTTTTGTTAGTTGTTACTTTTTCTTTTGGCATGTTTACTTATTTTGTCCGGAAACTGGACCGCATTTTGGTAACTTCAATTTTCGTTTTTATTTTTTGGATAAACAGCACGATTTTAGGACAGTTGCACACACTTACCTTATATATCTTATAAGCCTTATTACTGAATAAAATGTACGACGCACACATCAATGGCAAACAAAATTAGAAGATATTTCATCACACACACACAAATTAAACTTTCCGCCATGTTGAAGCTAATATAGACTGGTTCCCAGTTCATCCGGAATTATAAAATGATCGTTCTGAAAAGGAATGGTGGTAAGGTACCATGCTATAGATTTTCGAAACCTCGGCTTCGTTTCCAGCTTTGGATTTAGGCAACTTTTAGGCCCCTGGTGCTGCCGTGACTACGGCGAAGTTTCGTCAAGCCTTAATTTATGGACTATTATTATTTACACTATAAAGGATGAGTCAAGGTTGTACTTATGAAACAAGATGGCAAATGAAGGGACTAGATACCAAAGGACGAGACAAGATGGTGAAGGATGAGACATAATGGCAAGGTAGGATGATGACATGATGGCAAGGCGGGATGAGACAAGATGGGATGAGATGGGATTTGATGGCAATTATGGATGAGATATGCATGATGGGGAAGGATGAGACAGGTAGCAAGCGATGAGAAAAGGACACAAAGGATGAGACAAGAAGGGAAAGGATGAGACAAGACAGCAAAGGATGAGACAAGATGGCAACAGATGAGACAAGATGGCAAGGGATGAGACAAGATGGCAGGGGATGAGACAATTAAGATGGCAGGGTATATGTATCCAAAAAGGGCTGATTTACAAAAATGTATACGATTGATGCTAACACTTAAAGGACAATAATTGACAGAAGAGGAAAAAAACTTGCTTATGAATAGACGCGCCGTGTAACAACCGCCTGAAAACCACACAGGCCCCTATTATTACATCAATGTCAATCATTTGGCTGAGTGTGCTGCAGATTCAAATTAATATCTCATTAGACTTCATTATATTTGACAGTAAACAAACTTGGTGCCAGTATGTCATGTGATGGGGAAATAGTATAAACAGATTGTGCTGTGCACCTTTCTTAGCCAAAGTTGGTTGAGTATGCGCTGGGAAAGGAGTGGAAAGGACCATAACATATTATGCTTCACATCTTCTCTATTTTAGCCAAAGAACCTAATCTTGATTCATGTGAAGGATACTCCAACAGCAGATTTGAATGTCACATGTGCTGCATGGAAATATTTCTAACTTTGGACGTTGGAGATAACAACAAACTGTATGCCAACTGCTTCACCTTGCTACAGATGGTACATACCTGGGTACCTGTAGTGTATGCTCCTGAAATCAAATGAGCATTGATATATCTGCAGCCTCTTGAATGACACGTTTTAAACAATCTTCAATCAGCATTTCCATTCAGGTACACAAGCAGCAAAACAATTTAGCATTTTAGATAAATCTACCCAAGTTTCTGTCTGCTCATCCAGCAACCATGGAAACTACAACCAATGAGCAGATGACTGCTACTTCAAACTCTACAGCAGAAGATGTTATTGTGTCAACACCATTTGCAATTCTTGTCAAGACTTTGATGGTCATTGCCATCGTTCCCAACCTCCTACTGAATCCACTGATGCTTGTCACTTTGCGTCGCGTCACCAGCATCCAGCCAACAACCAAAATATTCATGGCTTCTCTCACCCTGTCTGATCTGTGCAGCAGCTTTTGGTCGATCCTAATCCTAACATCATTGTTTGCTGACACTTGGTTGTTAGGCAATTTTCTTTGTGCAGTGAATAATGTGATGCTATTTCTCTTTACTGGGCTCAGTGTTAGTACGCTTCTTCTTCTCACTGTGGATCGTTACATTGCTATTTCCCATCCTCTGCGGTATCCCTCCATAATGACCGTGTTCAAATCAAAGATAATTGTATGCAGCGCATGGGCTACAATCATCGTATCCTCCATTCTGATCAATGGGATTAATCCTTTTTATAATATACAGGTTATTGGTCATAACAAGAGACTTTGTACATCAGAGACATATGACTGGAGAGTATATCTATTTCTTGCATTGGTGTTACTTCAGCTACTGACCATATTCATCCTGTATGCACACATCGCCCTAATAGCTCGCAATCAAGCCCGACGCATTGCTGCTGAAAACCAAGCAGGCAATGGTCAAGGTGGGCAGAGAATAAACACCAGATCAACCACCACTATCATCATCATAACAGGGACTTTAATCATCACCTGGATTCCTACACTTATAAGGTTGCCAATAGCTTCACAAAACCAATGGGAACCTTATGACAGTTACTTGTCCTTCAAGTTCACACAAGCTCTGTTGATGTCCAATGGCTGGATGAATGTAATTATTTACTACCTGAGGAACAAGGACCTTCGTCAGGCACTGTGCGGATTACTGACTGACTGGCGCCAAAGACTGTCCCAAAGATTCCGACCATAACTGTCAGAAAATACTGTCAACAAAGAATATATTTTTTGAAAGGATGTTTTACAGGTAGCACAAGAATGAACAGACAATTTAGCTGCCTTATCCACAAGACAACGAATGTTGGGCTTTGCAGGAATTTATAGATACCAGACACTTCAAACCAACTTTTGGACCAATGCGATGTTCTTCACGTTTTTACGATGTCCAAGATTAAGAAACAAAAGTAAACACAGCAACAATATGACCCCTGAAATAAGAAACACATTTAAAACAGACTACCTTGTCACAATACTGTAAAATATTGAAGATTTATTACAAAAAGTCTTACCATCAAATCCTCGCCAATGTGATCATCCAAGCCAAGAATCTCATGATGGACTCATCTTGGTGAGTGTCACTGGTGTCTTCATCACACGCCATGGCCAGGAGGACATGTGAGGCTGTGTAAGTTCCCTGAATTCTTTCCCCTGTAGAGATGCATTGGACTTCTGTGCGTTAACGAACTGATGGAACTCTCACCCCTGAAAAGTGCAAGAACACGAAAAAAGGGGGGAAAATGAGTTGATTTACAGGTACCATATTTTGTATACAAACATTCGGTTGTTGCAGCTAATGTAAAGTTGGCAAGTTCATAGATAATCCTGACCATGCCATACACTATTGCGATAGGCAAATCACCTTATAACTTCTCAGTATCAGGCAGATTGGCAGTGCTGTCTGAATGATATTGAGCTGCATTTGTATTTACAGCCCCAGTGCTTAACTGATCGAACGTTTCTTGTAGTTGGAGAGCCTGTCGATAATTTTGTTTTATATTGTTTATTATTTAGTAATATTTTCAATAGCTTTTAAGGCAATCCTGCATATAGTACAATTTAATGTTTCTTGTATTTTAGTCTCTTGTATCTTAGCCTTTTGTAGTTTGTCCTTTTGATCAGTTCCTTAGGTGTGACTTAATGAATTTAAAAACTGTCAAACGTACATGTATATAAGCTGTCGTGTACATGTATGTATTTTGCCTGAAATAATATTCTTAATTAATAAATAAATAAATAAATAAACGTGTTGCCCGTCAAGAGATGCAAAAGAATCCCCCTTATAAGCCCACCACCAATTCCTATCATCACATTTGGACCTCATTAGTAGTGATTACAAAAGACGGCGGACAAATAGTCTGTAGTCACATGTGTACAATGGCTCTGTCCATTACAGATACAAATAAAATCTCATATGACAATCAACAGCAGACAACCAAATTACCGGTAGGTTTCCCATAAAAGACCCAAAGATATCAGTCTCCAGACATTTTTGAGCCATCCCAACGAACATGGACTTGACTAAATACAAAAACCTCCAGAGTAAGCAGATCTGAAGTTTAATTTGTGCTACGTGTACATGTAGAAGAGACATTCTAAGTTGAATATACATGCAACAACAAACTGAACTTCAACAGGCAGTACATCTTCTTTCAAAATAAAAAACCATTTCTATGTCTTCTGCATCTTACATGTAAATGACACAAACTTTCACGAAAAAAGTTGGATCTACTTTTCAAGACATGAAGAACATTTGACTACTCTTCTAGTGACCACGGAAACTACCGGTACACCCAGTGAAAATATAACCTCTACATCGAGCTTTAGAGCAGAGCTTGAGTACGGCACTTCATCACCACCTTTTGCAATTTTTGTCAAGACTTTTGTGGTACTTCTAATCTTTTCTAATGTGATGAATCCACTGCTGCTCTTCAACCCGCGTCGTGTAACCAACATCCAGCCGACAACCAAAATATTCAAAGCTACTCTCTGCCTCCCCCCCCCCCCCCCCGATCTTTGCCGGCATCAGTTTATGCTGGATCCTTAACTCAATTGCATCGTTTCCTGAAACCTGGTTGTTGGTTGAATTTCTTGAGTACATATTCAGCAGACTTCGTATTTTTTTCTCTTCTTCTTCTCATTGTGGATCATTACATTGCCGTTTTGCATCCTCTGCTTGGTATCCTTCAATGATGACTATGCTCAGATTGAAGATAATTGTACTAAGCACACGGGCTACAATAAGCATCATTTTGATATTTGAATTTATTAATCCTGCTTATGCTTTGCAAGTCAGTCATAAACAAAAGGTATACCGGCTGTATGATTGATTGATTGTGCCGTCTGAGCAATATTCAGCCATTTAGGGTACCATACAGGCATTGGATGAAAATAATTGACAGAATACATGTAGAAACAAATTGCCAATGAAGAGATGCAGAAAGATCAATATTGAAACAAGTCCAGCCCCCTTATTGCACAAAAGGACAATCAGTTGACTCTGTTACACCTGATCACACTAAACAAACCATGTTTGCCGGGTATATGTTGAGGAAGCAGCAGAAAAGCACAATTCAGTCTGCAAACCATTCTTAGCCATCTCACAGTACGTGATCTTCATGGTACTGATCGATCAAGTTCCTCCACTGTGTTGGAGCAGACATGAAGTATAATTTGTGCTGCATGGGAAATTGCCAACATCAGATGCTGGAGACACCAAAAAACAGAATGTTATATGTGTAACTGCTTGACTTTCTTATGGATACTGATGGTACATGCACTGAAGAATGTCTGCAATCTCTTGAATGACACATGCTTTTATGCCAAAACAAAAAGCAATCTTGAATCAGAATTTCCATTTATTAACCAAAACAGGGGGAAACAATAACATTTTAGATGAATCTACTCTGTTTCTGTCTACTCTTCCAGCAACCATGGAAACTACGTCCAATGCACAAATGACTACTACTTCAAACTCTACAGCAGAAGCTACAACTGTCTCAACACCATTTGCAATCTTTGTCAAGATTTTGATGGAAACTACACCCCAGGAAGCAGAAATAAATACATCCTCCAACTCAACCACAGAGGGTGCCGTTTATCCAACTGCATCAACACCATTTGCAATTCTTGTCAAGACTTTGTTGGTCATTGCCATCGTTCCTAACCTCCTATTGAATCCACTGATGCTTGTCACCTTACGTCGTGTCACCAGCATCCAGCCAACAACCAAAATATTCATGGCTTCTCTTACCCTGTGTGATCTGTGCAACAGCTTATGGTGGATCCTAAGCCTAACATCATTGCTTGCTGACACTTGGCTGTTGGGATCTTTTCTTTGTGCAGCAAATCAGGTGATGCTATTCCTCTTTACTGCGCTCAGTGTTAGTACGCTTCTTCTTCTCACTGTGGATCGTTACATTGCTGTTTCCCATCCTCTGCGGTATCCCTCCATAATGACCGTGTTCAAATCAAAGATAATTGTATGTAGCACATGGGCTACAATCATTGTATCCTCCATTCTCATAAATGGGATTAATCCTTTTTATACTATACAGGTTATTGGTCATAACAAGAGATTTTGTGCAGCAGAGACATATGACTGGAGAGTATATCTAATTCTTGTATATGTGGGGCTTCAGCTACTGACCATACTCATCATGTATGCACGCATCGCCCTGATAGCTCGCAATCAAGCCCGACGCATTGCTGCTGAAAACCAAGCAGGCAATGGTCAAGGTGGGCAGAGAATAAACACCAGATCAACCAGCACCATCATCATCGTAACAGGGACTTTAATCATCACCTGGATTCCTACACTGATAAGGTTGGCAATAGCTTCACAAAACCAATGGGAGCCTTATGTCAGTTACTTGGCCTATATGTTAACAGAAGCCATGCTGTTGTCCAATGGCTGGATGAATGTAATTATTTACTACCTGAGGAACAAGGACCTTCGCCGCACACTGTTAGGATTACTAACTGACTGGCGCCAAAGACTGTCCCAAAGATTCTGACCGTAACTTTCCAAAAATACAGTCAACAAAGCATACATTTTGAAAGGATTTTTACAGGTAGCACAGGAATGCACAGACAATTTTGCTGCCTTATCCACAAGACAAAGAATGTTTGGCTTTTGAAGGATTTATTTATAAGACAAGTAAACACTGCAAGACTATGACATCCCCCCCCCCCCCTCCCCCATGGAAAAATTTAGAAAAAGACAGCCTTGTAATCACAATCAAGGACAGAAGACGATTTATTACCAAAACGTCTTACCATCAAAGCCTTGCACGTTGAGCCATCCAAGTGAACAACCTCATGATGGACTCATCTTGGTGAGTGCCACTGGTGTCTTCATAATACCCCATGGCCAGGTGCTACCATACACGTAAGAGAGGACATGTGAGACTGTGTAAGTCCCTTAATTCTGTCCCCTTTAGAGATGTCTTGGACTTCTGAGCATTCATGAACTGATGGAACTCTCATCCCTGAAAAGTGGGGCAAACAAGAAACAAGAAAAAGAAAAGAAATGAGTTGATTTACATGAACAGTTTGTATATGTACAAACATTTGGTTGTTGCAGATAATTGAAATTTTGTAGCAATTTAATAGATGATCCTGACCACGTCATGCACTATTGTGATAGGCAAATCACCATATAATTACTCAATGTCAGGCAGATTGACAGTGCACTCAATCTGTCTGAATGATATTGAGCTACATGTACATGTTTACAGCATCAGTGATTCATGACAATAACTGATGGAAGAACATATTGCCAATCAAGAGAAACAAAAGGATCACTCTAAAAACGGCCCACCATCAATTCCCATCATCACATTTGGACCTCATTAACAGTGATTACAAATGACGGCGGATGTCCCATGAGTACATTGGCTCTGTCCACCGCAGATATAGCCCATATCTCATTGGGCTATATATGACAATCAACAGCGGGCAAACACATTAGGTTTCGTGTGAGCTTGAGAAGAACCCTAATAACCAAAATATATCAGTCTCCATACATTAATCCTGCTTATGCTTTACAAGTTAGTCATAAACAAAAGGTATACCGGCTGTATGATTGATTGATTGTGCCGTCTGAGCTAAATTCAGCCATTTCGGGTACCATACAGCCCTTTGATGAAAATAATTGACAGAATACGTGTAGGAACAAATTGCCAATAAAGAGATGCAGAAAGATCAATA